CTCAATTGGTCCCTCTCAATCTCTCTATAGAGGGTATATTACCCTAATTTACAATGGCATCCCCTGGCACCGTCAATATGAGGGAAAGTTTCCCACTATGACTCTCTTTCTCTCTCTTTCTCTCTTACGCAGAATCGTAAGAAAGAAGTTTCATTTCTGCACTCATAATCTTAATGAAACGCTGTCAAAACTTAACAAAATAAAGGGAAATCCTTTAATAAATATATCCGTTCTTCGTGCTAGATTATAATTGACGACACGTATTGCTTTTAGATTCCTTCACATGACCGAGGTTCCGTGAGAGACATGAATCCCGTGAGAATATGGATATGTTGGATGCTGAGTCGATGTTGAACAGAACCGTTCCTCAAACTTGGACTGTCTTCGACGAAAGGGGGTGCAACGGAGAAACTTTCTATAACATGTGAATTGCCTTGGGGGAGAACGTATTTTCTCTTCCTAAAACTGGAGGAATGCATTTTGGATCCTGGTTTTTGTTTTTGGTTGGCGAGCATGTGTTGGCTGGATGCGGGATTATTTTGTCATGGAAATTTGAAGATTATTAACCCTTTCACGCATGGTGTCTACTATAGTGAACGGCAAAATTTTTTGGCAATGATGGTGGTTTTTTAGCCATGGTGCATGCACCTCGAAACTTTTGGTGTACGTAGTTAACTCAAGGGCACATAATCTCCACAGTGTTGCTTTCTAGCGGTGAAACATGCGACTATTACCTCCTTAAGGAATACCTCCTTAAACGTTAAACCAAAAAAGGCATATTTTGCTCGAAAAATTCATACATGAAAGGGTTAATTATTGACAGCTCACACAATGCTTTTACAGATGGGGTCGGGGACTCTTTTTAAATTACGTAAACACTGAGATATAGTGGCACCCTCTCCTCCAGTTCGGTCACGATGGGAAAATTATTTACTTATTCCCCCAATGAACCCCGAGAAGAAACAAAAGTTAGCGATTCCTGAATTGGACTTAAGGACTGCTGCTCGGATAAAAAGTCGGTAGATTTCCGCAAGTCACGACTTTAATATTATGAGCTTTAGAGCCGTCGCATGACATCTTTAAGTCCATAGGGTTTTCAAATTGCCAGGGCTGAAAGTGTTCATGGTCCCATTCTCACTTTTCCTATTCTTTCCCCTTGCTTTAAAAGTGACTCTAAAAGTGACTTTAAAAGTCGACACGTGAAGACACCGGTCCGTGAAAATTTCTTCAATAGCAGAATCGAAAACGAAATAACGGATGCAACCAGAGCCTGCCTCTCAATAGCACTTCCCATTACCGTAAAGCTTTTCTGCACGGCCCATGCAGTGATGTCGAGCATTATAGTTAAGTAGCACCGAACTAGCGCCAGACCAAGCGAGTTTTTCTTTGGCTTTTATTGAGGCCATTAGGGCAAGGAAGAGACCTCCGAGTGTGTGGATGGGATCCATCAAGAGGGAGAATGAAGACCGCAAAAATACGTCTCATCGAGAGAAAACCACCATATTGTCGTCGCATGAGATTCTTCACTCTTCGAGGTTTTATGCTCAATTTAACCCAAGACCTCGATATAACTTTTGAATCCCAGAAGATGGCCTGTTTTATTCTCGCACGCATCGGCCGGTCCAAGTGCCAATGGTGGCAACAGGAGAGAAGAAGGAGGATGGAAGCCAATATTCAATATTCCGTACTTACCGTTATCTATTTTTCCACGCCCTCATAAGAGATATATGGCACTGCCCGTACAATTTTTTTTGTGCCGGAAGGAGGGGGGAGGGTAGACTGCAAGAGAGTGGGAGTTATTCCGGAAAAGAAAAAGCAGAAGTTGGTTGGATTCCCAGTTCCACCACTTCTGGTAGTCCTGCAGCAGAGAATGGCTGAATCACGCGCTTGTAGAATTTATTTATTTATTTATTGCCGAAGGGATTCCTGAAGCATATTATATCTGCCAGAAAATTAAAATTCAAGGCCTAGGCCAACGTATTCTCGAAGAGTATGGAAGTCCGGAAAAAGCCCGATTGGATTCGACGCAGATATCAAATGCCAGGGCGAGATGTCTGCGTCCACTTAAGCAATGTATCGATTTTAATTGCCTTGAAAATACCAGGATTGGTACATGCCTGCGTTTTCTTTAATCAGACTGAAGCATGGCGGCATGCTCGAGTCAATCATTAGACTCAGGCCTCAGCAAAAGAGAAAGATTTAATCATGCCACGTACTATTTGAATTTTTTACATGGAAGACGTGAAAGCACCCTTTCCTTTCTCTGGAAAGGAGACGAGAGAGTCCGGTAACGCTAATTACCTGAAACTTGGCGATGGTCAGCGTTACAGATGGTCCCGTTTCGGTTGCCTATGCATCAATACAGCCCCACCAACATTCCGCGATACTAAACGCATGAGCTCGTCTGGAATCTAGCTGCCTCATAGTGGGTATACTGGTGGTGGTCCCACTGCGATCCCTCCCACGATTAAATCTATATTACCCCATCTTATCGGAAATGGCATTGCCAACTCGTGCATTTCAGTTTGGAATAGAGAAACGACGGATTGAGAAAGTTTATCCAGCTGCTCCTTCACGTTGAGCGAATTCTGTAAACTTAGGCATTTCAGGCTGTAAGCATTAGCCAATAATATTCAATCGTACTATATAGCTTTGATCTTGAAGAGTACTGCATAATTACGAAAGCACGTGTTAGGGTGCCCAGGAATGAACTGTTAGCTAGCGAGGGGCTCGAGAAGTTTCGGGTAGCGACGAGACTGTGTTGCTCCGTTACTTCCACGAGGATTACGGTTTTTTTTTCCAGCATTTTTCGTTGAAGTAGATAGACCAAGTGAATGTTTCCCACTCGTTCGCGGGTCAAATTTCCTCTCTCGTTTTCTCTCAGATTTCTTCGTTAATCCTCTTTTGCCGCTTCCATGCTGCGACTACAAACAAGTTTGGAAGTGATTGAAAATGTGCTTTTCGAGTCCCCTCAGTGCCCAAACAAGGAATTATTTTCAGATGAGGCCGATGAGAAAATCGGATCACCTTTCCCAGCGTTTCTGGAATGAGATTACAACCAAAGGAATCATATCTTAGAATTTCTGGAGGGATTCCTTCATCCAGGAATGGCTTTAGCATCAGCTTTTAATTTGTTAGGATTTTACAATTGGATAACGGATGAAATGGATAAAGGAAACCCCGTAGGAAATGATTCATTCCACTTAACTAGGGCGTTCGATAGCACTCCTTGCATGAGATTACGGGCTAAATTGGAGGCACATGGGATTCAGGGGAGGCTCACCGACTGAATTAGAAGCTGTTTGTCAAGAGAATTGCAAATGGAGAAGTGCCTCTCGACGTTGGGGTTGGAAGTGGAGTACCCGAGGACTCCGTCTTGGAACCACTTCTGCTTCTCGTTTGTATTCGTGATTTCAGATCGAAGTCTGAGGAGTAAATATGCCGGCCTCATAAAAAAATTTTTTCATCGTGGGTGAGGATAGGTCATCTTGGCGCGAGCTGAGAAAGATTTACAGCATCCAGCGAGTGAAATAAAAGTCAGCTTATCGCGTTCAAGAGTAACAGGAAAATTCTTCGCTGGGTATCTTAATGCGAGGATGGACTTGGGGCGGCAAACAGGAAGAGACATAAGGGTTAGGCGTGGGAGGACTCAAGTCCTCCGAGCAACTGCAGGCTGCATACAACATCGGTAAGTGCCTGTTTAGATCATTGAGTCCGGTTTTGGAGGCCCGCAAATACACGGGATTTAATGGTCCTGGAGGGAATTCAGAGGCCGATAACAAAATGATAAGCTAAGTTCAGGCGGCATTCACACGCGTCGGGGATGCAGAAGCTTAAGGAGGAGGGATCTCATCTGCGCATTTCACATCATTAAGGGCATCGGTAAAGTGGATCGTGGCAGGTTTTTCAACTCGACGGCGCCAGCAGAACAAGGGGCACCAGTCCAAGAAGCGTAAGTCTCAAGTAAGCCTCAATTAACGGACTTTTTTTTTCATTCGTCTGCAAGTGAATGCGTGGACGGTGGAACGCGTCAGATGAATATGTGCAAGTGTGGCTGTATTTTTTTTAGTCGTTACTTAGGAAGAGAACAAGAAAAAAAAAGGAGGAGTATTACATCTGCAAGCAGTGCTTGATTTGAGCCGGAGTTCTCTGGAGCTCAGCACCGGTACCTTGAAATAATACCAGAACTCAGCTGCTATTCTTCAACGCCGTGCATGTTATTACTTTACACTTCATGGTTTCTAAATATTTGGCAATAACTGACGGTGTTTCTGGATGTGCCCGAAAATCGAAATTTTAGTTAAACATTGCGGGAAAAAAGTTCAAATGGGCAAGCTTGAACGTACATTTACTACAGTAAACATACGGTGAACTCCGGTACTTCTTATCCTAGAAATAATGTCCTGGCTGCAAGCAACACTTGCAGATCGCACACTCACCAGAAGCAATCTTTAGTAGGAGCGCTCGACCTTGACTCGGTATTGTTTACTTTGGTGGAGTAAGAATACCTTTAATTTTTGATACATTGAATCTGCATTCGTCATTCATGCAATTAACTTTTTGAGACTGAGTTCACATATGTGGACAAAAGTTTTAAAGCTCAATTTCTCAGCAGGTTTTTAAAGCAACCTATCATCCTCAGAGATATAGGCCGATCACAAATTATGCTGTGAGTATTTGAAGGGATTATATATTAATGTTAGTGGGTGAGGAATGAGAAAAGTATAAAATAGAGTCTGGACTATTGCCAAAATATAGGAAAAATGAGAGAGGTGGAATTAGTGCATTAACGGCGGAAGATAAAGCGCTGACATACATATGCTAGCGTCAACTCCCTAGTGTATTTCACTTGAGTTAGACGATGTTCACATTGGACTCGGACAGTCGTGTATGGGATACTCCTCATGCGTGAATGTCTGAATCAAAAGAAAGAGAAAAGTCTGACTCTAGTGAAAAGAACTATTACATTTTTGATTGAAGAGGAATCTCGAAAGCAAGAACAAATATGGCGGCTCCCTTATCTAAGCGTGCTACACATGCTTTGAAGTGAGATTCAGTCAGGAAGGAAATGCATTTTGCCTACAAGCCTCAGCTCGTCCTCGAGAAACTCCCATTACAAGTGGAAAGCATTAGTGCGTATGGTATGTGTCTAATTGGCGTTAGACCAGTCTCAGTTGTCATTAGGCAGATCTGTGACTCTAACGTTAAGCTTGGCTTCTAACATATGTTCTAGGCTAGGCCTAATCTTATGGCAGGTCTAACTTGCTAACTTGAGTCCTGCTTGTTTTCTAAGCTGTTGTGTAAGCAAGTTTTGTTTAAGGTAAATGATCAATGCTGGGCGACCAAGACCAATGCAAAAGCAGCCCTCTCACATCACATATTCACCACTTACTTCAGTCTCTTATGTCACTTAAATCCCAAATTATAAAGTTCTAAGCAGTGATCCTATGGTCTCTGTGTTGCCTTCTGCCCAGTACTTATGCTCTGGAACCAATAGCCATGCCATTTTATACTAATCCACCTACTTCCACATTCTCATGTGACAAGACTCAGCCACTCAGGCTGACATTTCCCACAGCTCCTTGTTGTTTTCATATACTTGAAATTATTTAACTCTCCTGACTCCCCATATTCTTTATCCCACTTAAAAAATTAATATTCCACCCTGAAGGATAACTTCACACCAACCATGCCAGCATGTCACAATGAGCAAAGAAGTAACCTTTCTTTTCAAATGAAAAGAGAATTTTAAAACTCTGGAAACCATAGCCAGTGATATATGCTTCTGCCTATATTTCAATGATGGGATTGTATTTACCAAAGATTAGGACTAAAATCCATTTAACTTGAGTTTACACCCCTTACCTTGATAGGGAAAAGTATTTCCATAGCAGTATAGATATATATGAAGATAATATATAGGCCATTCCTACTTTCTGCTAAATAATACATCAAACTGTGGCCTTGTCATGCTTTCATGCAGTCAAATACGTTGCTGTCAAAGTCAAATTTTGAAACATATATTAAGCCTATGATGTATAACTTTCTCTCTTTCCTTTTTTCATGCTTGTATAGTCCATTCAAAAGTTGCTTGAGGAGATGGTGCTGATGCATATACCACAGAAGGTATAGCACTATTTTGTATATATCAAGACCATCTCCTCTTAAAATCTTTCCTCCTACTTATCTCATGCATAATACCCTACAATTCAATTTCTGAAGTCAATTGTAGGCTTAAACCTTTCTTTCAAAATCTGTAATGAATTATGTGTCATAATAGACCTACTTTTCATGTAGTATCTCCCTCCCTATTCTATGCCTGAACTGCAGATATGCCTACTGGTCATTTACTATCCTTGTGGAACATAGTGATTCATATGCCTTGCATGATTGCCAATGGGACATGCATTTAGCTCTGAGATATTGGGCTTGAGATAATTTAGTGAATGCCTGCAAATTAAAGTGACATTGAATAAGGCTTAAAATGACAATGTAATGAGTGGTATGGAATTTCAGAACCTCAGAGTGATGGGCGAATTCATCTCTTCATTGGAACTAAGGACTGCCGGCTATTGATGTATGAAGTAATACCAGACGTCAATACATCCCAGAAATCCTTCTCAGATGTCAAAGTCCAGCTTCTGAGGTCCAACAAGTACTCTGTGAAGAAACCACCCACTCAGTTGGCTATTGTTCCTGAGTACCAGATTCTCATTGTTTTATCTGGTGAGTCTTTAGCATGAAAAGTTGTCTGAGTCTCAAAGCAGCCAAAATAAGAGGCTGCTCTTTTGCAGCATATAGATGGACTGTTGGATGGATTGTATAAAATTTGTGAGCCCTTGTATTTCATGTGAAACTCTTATAGATAATGTAGTGACAGTACATGACATTGCATATGTCACTACTCCCCTCCTGGCAACTTTGGAGAGCACTCGAGGAGCCACTCTCTTCACAGTTGATGTTAAAGTTAGTTAAGCTTCTTATTGTCTTATTACTCCTGGAGGTCTATTCAGAAATGGTTGATGGAATGTTTGGATGATCACATCAGAAAGAAGTGACCCAGACAGGAGAAGCAAGTGTGATACTCAGGCTTGGTGTGGTTGTTAAGAAAAATCTGCAGCTCTTCTATTGGAAAAAGAGAGAATTTCTTTCACTAAGGGAAGATTTGACATTTCCAAGTACTCCCAAGGCTGTTGCATGGGTACATGAGAGCCTCATTGTAGGCCTCAGAGGAGAATATACCATCACAACAGTATGTCTTCTTCCTTGTTTATTCAATTTGAAAAAAAAAAATTTTAATCCTAGTTGGATGAAGTTCACTGCCTTCTTCTTTCAGCTGAAGGGAGAAAAAACTGACTTGACTTCGACTGCAGGACCCAGAGACCCAAAGGTGATACGAATCTCAGGAGATACTGTGGCACTTAGCCGGGACAAAGATCTAGTCTTTGTTGAGATCAATGGACTTCAACCATCGTTCAAACGCATTATCAAGTGGAGTGATGCTCCTATTGCTGTGGGTGTGTGCCTTGGAATAATATTCCAGGTTCATGGGGGGCCTGTAATAGCAGAAGACATATCAATTGTGTTTTCCATTTCTTGGCAGAATTTGACCTCCCATATCTAGTTGGACTCTTGACAAATTGCATAGAAGTGCTGAGCCCCTCTCCTCATCAACTGATACAAGAAGTTGATCTACAGGGACGACTGCCTCATGGTGCAAACCCGCACCTCATGTGCTATTGTAGTCAAGGAAGGCTCTTTGTTGCTTCTTCCACCCATGTTTGGCTCCTTGAAGCACAGCCTGTCTCCACCCAAATAGAGACTCTTCTTAAACAGAGGCACTTTGAGCTTGCACTCAAACTCACTGTAAGAATAATCTCTTGCTATGTCATCCTGTAGATTTGATGTCAGGAATCTGAAATATCTGTTTAAATTTTGTGCTGCAATTCCAGGGCTTGGTGGAGGAGGGGGAAGATCAAAACAAGTTGATCCAGTACATAAAATCCCTCCATGGGTTTGACTTATTTTGCAATGGTCAATTTCAGGCTGCTATGAATACCTTCATTGACCTAGATATTGGTAATATTTCCTGATAGGGTTCTCTTACTGGCAATGAATTATGATCTTATTATCCAATTAGGCCTGCTTCTCCCTCCTTCCTTGCAGATCCATCTCATGTGATAGGTCTCTTCCCTGACCTTCTTCCTCAATACTTTCGAAGTCAATTAGAATACCCAGACAAGTTACCAGAGCTTGAAGGCATGGAATTGGACAATGGTCTGGTGGCTTTAAGGGATTACCTGACTCAGATGCGAACCAATCTCCTGGCGCAAGAGAGAAAGAAGATCCCATCACGTCCAATTCTTGAGGGGAACAATACAATTGGGAATAAAGAGAGACTTCTTCAGATCATTGATACAACTATGGTTAAGTGCTATCTTCAAATGGATGATTCACTTGTTGGTGTGTTCTTAAACCTCAAGAACAACCATTGTCATCTGGAAGAGACTGAACGAGCATTGAAAAGTTTTGGGAAATACAGTGAACTGATCATTTTATACAAAAACAAGGGTCAGCACCGAAAGGCTTTGGAACTCCTTCGTCGTCAAGGAGGGAAGCCTGACTCTCCTTTATATGATCATCAGCATACTGTTCTCTATCTGCAGCAACTTGGTATGCCTTCCTCCAATTCAGTTTAAGTATTATAAACTTATTCTATGAAAGTACATCCTTATTGGGGTCGTGTTGGCATTTAGGTAATGAGCATGCAGATCTAGTCCTTGAATTCTGCACTTGGGTGCTTGAGCGGTATCCTGAGGAAGGATTGAAGATTTTCACTGAGAGTCAAGCTGAGGACCCATTGCCAAGGGGGAAGGTCATGATGGAACTTCAGAAAAAAGCACCTAGTCTCGTACTACCTTATCTGGTAAGGAAAGAGAAGCAGACTTATTTGGTTACACCTTTCTTCAAATGACCTCAAATAAAAATAAGGAACTTGAATATCCTTAGGAATATATGATCCACGAAGAAGAAGACAAGACCCCCATTCTCCATGACACTTTGATTGAGAAGTATGAGCAGTGTATCCAAGAGTTGACTACTAGTTCATCTGGATCTGTCAATGAACTGTGTGGAGTACGTAAGAAGCTCCTGTCCTTTCTGAAGACATCTCACTCATATTCAGTGGAGAAGACCCTAGTCCAATTACCCCAGGAAGGTACAGAGTCCAACACACTTATGTACTGGGTGGGCCAAAAAGTGTTCAACCTGTTTCATTTTATTGCTACTTATGTACTAATGCTTGTGTGATTCTGAAGGTAAATAGTTTTCTTTCTTGATTGAATGCAAATTCCATTTCAAGAAAAAACAGTGATTTTGGCACAATTTTATTGCTGTGAAAGGTTTATAATTGCAGTTGTCATTATTTTTTTGCACATGCTAAGATAAACATCTGTGCTGTACCTCTGGTAGATATTAGTGTCAGGCTATGCTGATGATGATTGTTAAGGAGAAGGGCACATTGAACATTTATTTAATTTTACATAATTAAATTATTTCTAACTTCATTATTGTTGCTGCTGTCTGCCCTTCATTGAAGAGTTAAGAAATTTGGGATGTTTAACTTAGCATGTAAATGATTATGGGAGTGCAACTGTGATTTTTAACCACATGCCATGAATACCATTATCATGTAAAAAAAACTATTTACTTTATTTCCTTAAAATAAATTGTTTTTTGATCACTGAAGAGTAGTACTTTGAAATTTCATGAGCATGTTTTAATTAGTATAGATGTAGGAATCAAATGAAAAATTATGGTGTTTTTTGCATATCTTTTTGCATTGTATCATTGAGCATATGATTTGATGCAATCCACATTTTCTCTAAGGCTTTCATGAGGAGAGAGCTGTCTTATTTGAAAGGCTGGGACAGCACAGTAAAGCATTGGCAACTTATGTCCATCTCCTGCATGATTGGGACCGTGCACTTGCATACTGTGAGAAAATTTATGATGCCCAGGATCCTGTCGCCAGTCAGGTAAGGAAATTTCCTCCAGCCCTCTTACATTTTTCTGCAATATAAAATTTCATGTAAAATAAATGAACTTTTGCATTTTTAGGTGTTTGTTGATCTCCTGCGGTTGTGTCTTCTTCCCCCTGAAACTGGGACATTCATCCTTCGCTCCTCAGACCAGTATGGCTCTTCTTATCAAGAATCCAGTCATGAGGGACCCAAATTTCCTCTCTCATCTGTTGACCTTGAACGTGCCCTCCTAATCTTGAATCAACATGCCAGCAAGCTTGATGCTGTCAAGGTAAATAAGGCATACAGGTTGCCCCACAATGCTTGACACCCACAACAGCACAACCCAGTAGGCTGAAGTTGAACGTTATAATTCTGCCACCTTGTGTCTTTCAGCACTTTTTTTTTTCATTGAATACTGTTTGATTAAGCAGTCATTTGAAACGAGAAATGACCATTACATTGTACATCATTGCATAACTATTGGTTGCAGATTGCCAGTGATTAGAGTAAAACTTTATTTGCCAAGAAGTGATTGGCTACTCAAGGAGAGGTGACTTCTATCCAACTGAGAGAATGATGCAACAATGGTTAATGTGCTAGCTGTCATTTAAAATGCCAGCCATGATCAAACAAAACATGTCATAGACTGAACATTGTGTGACTTGAGCAGGAAAGGTATCAGTTTGCAATTTGGGGTGCTTTGTCAGTAGCTTCTCCTTGGATCTTGTGCCATATTTGAATGCCATATCTTCAGGAGATACACAGAACACCATCATCAACAGATCCATGCATTTTGATCGTAGTGGAATTGAATGTGCCATTTCAGGTGCCATTTCAGGTTTGCCAGATTTGTGCTGTCAACATTTACTTGGCTTTGTCTTAGAAAAAGTAGCATGGAGTCTGTAGTTTTCAATAAGCTTTTTTCCTAAAGACTTGTAAAAATTTATGATGGATCCACACTATGGGAGGCTGCTTGTATCAGCAGTGTAGGAAAACATTGTGACTGTACACTACTGAAAGAAAAACGGTTGACTCATTCATTTATGAGGTAGCTGAACCATATGGTATTCAACAGACATTTTGTTAAGTAGCTGAAGTAGCTGACCCACATGGTAGTGCATGGTCCTCCTGCAACAGTGCTGAAAATATTACAATATTTTCATCTGCTGCTTATTACTGACAGCCTTCCAGAATGTGGATCTAGACTACCTTCTCCTCTCAGGGGGCTAATGCCACTTGAAATCTGCTGACTCTGTAGTAATGAAATTTCCTACAATGAAATTTCCTACATATTGCCTGGAGGTACTCTTCTCAAATACAGCACATCAATGACCACCACAGATAAATGACTGAAAAGGCACAGCAAGTTGAACACTGCTACCTTTATTGTTGAACCACATGGTGCTCAATCAATGAACTCTTTGATATCCCTATTTACAATAAAAATAATTGTGTTTAATAGCACTATGCAGCAGAACTAGAATGTTGAACATAGGGCTATCAAATTCTGCTGTTGGGAAAGGGGTGGCAACTGTTGATAACCACTCTATACTATACTGTACCAATCAAATGTTGAAAGGTTTTCTTCGTCAATGGTGAAGTCCCTGTTTTATTTTTATTTTTATTATAGATTTTAGAGATGTTCCCAGATGATGTGCCATTGGAAAGTGTGTCAAATTTCCTCAAAGAGAATTATTTGGGCCTTATCAGGCACAAGCAGTCATGGCAAATCCTGCATGCTCTTCGCATTGCTCAAGATCTCCAGGTGCCCAGCTTGACATACTTATTTTGTGGAAAATTCTCAACTCTGTATAATTTGCTGGAATGTTTATTGTGTCTGCAGGTTGAGAAGATAAGGCTTCAAGTTGAAGGACAGCGAGTCCTTCTGAATGACCAAACTCCTTGCTCTCTCTGCAGCAAAAAATTTGGTAAACAGAGGTATGTCATTCAGGGTTGTGGAATTTTCCAAAAGCTTGTATTTGATGTCCACTTGTTGAGAAAATTATTTCCCCTTTTTTGGCTTTTTCTCATCAAACTAGGGCAGTGGTTCTCAAATTGGGGGTTGTGACCTCCCAGAAGCACAAAGGTTCAATGGGAGCAAAAGAAAGTTTGAGCACCACTGCACTAGGGAATTAGAATTCTGTCTTCCTGCTGCAGTAATCAACCATGACCAGAAAAAATTATAAATAGGGAAGATATGTTTGTCTGAAGGTATGCATAAGAAAACTGCCACTCATTTTTGCAAATTTTTCCACAGTGCATTTGCTGTATACCCCAATCAGGATGTTGTTCACTTCTCTTGTCAAGAGGACTACGAAGCCCTCCAACGGCCCAAGAATTCATCCTGATCCATTTCTTGTCAGCTATTTTTAGTCCATTTTGTGATATTTTCTGCCTCTGAGGAATTCACTTGACAGTTGCCATTTGATGTCATGTTCTGTGGTCATGAGTTACCTATGGATTGGTGACTTTTTGAAGGCTCCCAAAAAAATCAGTGAAGACTTTGTAATTGAGAAAGCCTTGCATATGTTCATGGTATGGGACAATGAAAATTAGTCCCATTCTGACAGTTAAAAAGCTAGAGTATATTTTTTATTATCAAATGACAAGTCACTATGCAACTGAACATACTGGTCATCACTTGGCCTTTGGAACGAACCTATTTTAATATTCCTGCTTTCTTTATCATTCACACCATGAGTGCCATGTCTTTGTGAATTTTTATGCCATAGGTGCAAACATTTTGTAATAAATAATATTTCAGTATAATCCAATTCCAATCCCTCCTATAGATCCATTGACATGGGTTGTTAAAAGTTATCTATAACCTTTTGATACCTGGTCACCCGGATACTTAGATGTTATGGTTATAATATATAATAACCCAGTGTCCTAGGCAAAAATTTTATTGTGGATAGAGGAAATGGTATGTTTTTCCATTTTCTTTTTGTGAATCATGGACAGTGCTATGAGATCAGCTTTTATCTGCCTATCCCCCTTCCCTGGTGCTGTTGTCTACAGCACTTGGGTCATCTATTGAAAATTATCTTTATTAATGGTGAAGAGATATAGGGTAAAACCTTGTAAGGTCGGACACTAACGTTTATTGTTTAAAAAAAAATAACATTCAACCTCAGAGTTCTTCCTAGCCCAAGATGAACATGTTACTAAGTGAAAGACTTGAGATGGCCACAATCGAGCATGATTTCAAAATATCGGGCGGAAATAAACGTAATCTTGTAGACAGGAGAAATTCAAGAAAACCAATGGACGACCTTGAGAAACGCTTCAAGCGTGGCATTGTTAATTCTGTGATCAATTCTCATTCTGCAGGAAACTAGGGGACATGGAGTATTACTACACAGAATGCACATGCCATGAGCAGATTTCCACCTTGCTTCTGGTGTGTCCAAACTATGTTGTGTTCGAACTTGATTCTTTCGCATCTAAATTTGGGCACCCATATCTTGGACACTATCGGAATCTATAGAATTCAAAGGACAACACAAATATTGTGCTCCCAGACACGCAAAAAATGAAGTATCCAGCTCATACCATGAAAGTGTGATGAGTAAACTACAATTTTCTCCTAATTTAACTGTCTGAACAGTGATGGTTTTACCCCAGCATTGATTCAAGCCCAGGGAGCCAGATCCCTTCCGGATTAAAGAAACTTCTGCATCATGACTTGATGATAGAGCTTATAGAAAAGTATGAAACACGTGTGAACAGCTGCGAAAAGTCGATCCAAAAGACAGTCATTAGCATTCAGAAATCCGAGCACAGGCAACTGGTGCAGTTATGAGCCATCCCAGGCAGTACAACCTTGGCATACTATGAAACTGGCAACCTTAGACCAATTATATCACGCTTATCACCGGAGTCCCATTATTCCTACCTCGTCGAGTTGGCTAACTATCGCCGGTCCAACTTCTGGAGAGAGAAGGTGTGGGTTGTGGGCTTAGCGGCGGACCTCACCGAGGAGTGGAGGAGGAGCCACCCCCTACCGGACACCTCCCACCTCCAAGAGACCTCCCACGGACCGGGACAAGGGGGTATAGTCCTTCCGAATCTCACCGGTACTCATCTAATTGGAGTCAGTACATATAGTAGGGCCCTTTTTCGTACACGGAGAACACGTAATACCATTCGGCGGCCGCGCCCACAGGGTCAACGAGATGGATTTCTGGTAGCTGCTCGACTGGCATGGCCACTTTGCAGCCCACGCCGATAATTGTCCACCACAGGGCCAAAGGAAGTGTGCCTGGGATCAAGGATTGCAGACTGATTGTCCGCTGTGGTGTTTTTCAAAAGGCTTTGATAGGTTTTGATTAATATTGCAGGCTCAGTTTTTAATTGGCTCTTTTATACAATCATTAACTGCTCCAATTAACTCGCTAAAAGGGAAAGGGTTTGTGGAAACCAATCATTCCTATAGCAAAAAAAATATTAACATTATAATATTTTGACATGTATTTCAAAACTTACTGTGGGAGATCACAAAATTCGAACGATTTAAATCACATTTTGGCGTAGAACTCTATGCAAGATAATCTAAGCGTCTAGCACAACATTCTATCTCGGTAGGTTTGTGATAGTTACGAATGTGTGTGACAGAATTTCACAAAACTGCTGGTTCTCCAGGAGAGCTTAACAAAGCAGGTAGGTTTGAGTAATTACTCAATTACAAGCCGCGATGCATCGTGTGGGCAAATGAGAACCTGTCAGATTTGCAAGAAAAAATGTGGCCTCTTTGAAAACATTACACTTTTTCGAATGGAATTCGTACATCTCCATAGGAGTTCTTCCATCGATTGCAGGTAGACAACTTCTACATGAGTGGCTTCGTGGGTCATATGATTATCACCTTGTGGTTTCAATTTCAGTAGCCATGTGTACTCGGTGATTTAATTTTTATATGGAATGTTTTTATCTGTGCACTAACGTACAAAATTTACCATAATCAAGCACCCAACACAGCCGTAATATGTCGAAAACAGTTAAAGGGTTAAGCGGATCCTCTGGAAGTTGTGTTTTCGCCGTTTTCCACTATGAGGGGGGGGGGGGGGGTATGAATTCGAGCCGAAAACAATCTAGCAGACGATAGGAAATGGGAAACATGATGGCATCCTGCACGTGACGTGATTCGTGGTGCTTAGAAGTCGAGACTCAGGATCACCATGTGAAAGGTGACTGAACGTAGAGGTCCAAGATATCACCTTTGCCCAGTTCGTAACATGAGGTAGACGTGATTGTTTGGCAGTCTCCTACGCTCTCCTCGGAGCTTCGGCATTCCTGGTTTGTAATGGTGCTTTATGAACGAGGCTCAGTCAGCCTCATGAATTAGCCGACCTTATGATCGAAGCCTTAGGCCTACAGTTTCTGAGGAATACTTCGTATGCTGAAGTTTTTACGCTGATTTCGATCGCTTTCGGATTGAGGGTTCAGGTCAATTGCAGGCCTAACCTTAGTTTGAGTGCCAGTTAGTTTAGTATATTCTAGTCGAGCTTTTCCATGAGTAATTGTTTTCAGAGCTGGATTCTAAGAGCCCCACCTGTATAATTCCGCTGTTATTTGATAATAATGAAGTTTACCTTAAAGGTATAGGCCATTAAAGCCATTTTAAAAATGTTTGGAGTCAATCCAATTCACTACCTCTACATGTAGACCTAGAACTCATATCTAAGTTAGACACAGGTGATTTTATGGACTACTTCAATAGGCATATGATGGCATTGGGCATAAGGGTATTTGAACTCTTTGTATGTAGGCCTGATATGAGGCAGGCCTGTATCCATATTTATTCAAGCCAATTAAAATTCCCTAATTATTAGTCCCATCTAAATGTATAGCTGCAAAGGTACAAAGGGATCACCCAAACTTATATTGCTTAACTTCACCATACTTAATCAAGAGCTTACACCTTTTCTCCTATGCTTGAAGACCCCATCCCTGCTATTTTAAGTTTTTTTTTCAGTTGAGTCTGACATTTAAAAGTTTTAGCAGAAAAAGTTTTTATATGCCTACAAATTTTCTTCATAGAGTTTTCAAACAGAAATGTCTGATTTTGGTCTGGGCAATACTGAATCAAATGAGTGAAAGCAGTAAATTCAATTTTAACCAGTTTTCCGATTAGACCACTTAGTCTGTTGACTAGGCCATGCCTATAGGTATAGTATGACTTAACATGGTCTTTTGGTGTGTTCCTAACAGGACAGGAAGAAGAGGGCTTGAATGCCCCTTGAAATCATACCTTCACCAGTGATGGAATCAAGCTTCCATGCAAGGTATCCTAATGCTTATAATGGCAATGATGATCCAGATGGAAGCATATCCTCCAGAATGAAATTTTCTCATGTGAATGGACCTTCTATGCCAGATCAGAAGGAGCATGATGGTGATATTTTCCCATATGAAGTACATGTGTCTAATATTGAGACTATCCCAGGGGAGCATTGGATTCCAACCACCTTCCGTGCTGTCTTTGATAATGCAGAACAAGAAAACTTTGTGGAACATTTGGAGGGGCATGTTCGTTCTCGTAGCCATGAACTCACAGATCTCTGTAATGCCCACTACAGAGATTTCATCAAGTCTGTGGGAGAACTGCAAAAACTTGGATCAGTTGCAAATGAATTGAGAAAGGAAACAACATGCACAAACAATGAAGTGAAGGCTGCTGTTGGTGATTTGACCAGTAAAACTGAGGAGCTGACAGAGGCATTGCGTCTTCACAAGAACATATCTCTCACCATTGAGAGCCTTTCTGCTTGTCTTCCTGTCTTGGAGACGTATTCCCAATTTCAAAGTTTTTTGAAGAAAAAAGAATATTTCTATGCTCTGAAGAGCTTGGATAGTCTGGAGAGAATCTTTCTCCCCAATCTTCCTAAGTATAACTTCTGTGTGAATATGAAAGAGAGCATTCCTGCACTGAAGAAGAGCATCAAGGAAGCAGCCCTGGAAGACCTTAATGAATACTTGGAAAATGTTCGTAAGATTACATCCCGAGTGGGAAAGTGGGCATTGGACCAAGTGGCTCGGGATTTGGGATTCTTGGAACCCATTCCATCTGATGAAGACATTGCTGATGTTGATGCCCAAGAACTTGTTGACTATTCCCCAGTGTACAGATGTGTTCACATTTACAGCTTGATGAAATGTCAGGATGAACTCATCAGATATTACAGAAATGAAAGAAAAAAGCAGGTTCAGCTGGTACTAGAAGTTCCTATCAACATGCATGCATCTGTTGATGCCTTTGAGCAGTATTGTTATGGTTTGGTAGGGTTCTTTGTTATTGAGAACTGCATCAGTAACACAACAGATGCCATAATGGCCAAGGCACATTTGGATAACTTATGGGAAACAGCCCTCCCCCGTGCTATCTCAGCCATCAGAAATAATTCTTCCTTGTGCACAGATCTTTCCCTGATGCTTAGAATCAAGGAATTGGTTATCATAGTTACTCACACATTAAGCAACTACAGTTACAATGTAGAACGCTTGTTTGATCTCTATGGTGATCTTAGAGATCACTACACAGAAATCCTTATGCAAAGATGGGTTTCCATTTTTGGTTCCATTTTTGATGAAGATGATTATCAGCCATATGATCCTGAAACTCATGAGTTCCCAAATCTGATGGAGACTTTCAACTTCTCAGAGGAGAACCTAGTCAATGGGAGATTAATTCCCTTTTCTCACATGGTGCCAAAGGTCTACTCTCAAGTGCAAAGTTTTGTTGATGAATCCTTGCGATTCTCTCAGGACTTGGGCTTGAGCCACAAAGAAGTTCGTGATTCAGTCCGCAAAGCAACTCAGTTGCTGTTGTCCAGGACTCTAAGTGGATGCTTGTGTGATTTATTGAAGAAACCAAACTTAGGATTCACTCAGCTCATACAGATATTCATCAATATGAACTACCTAGAAGAAGCTAACTGCAGCTTGGAGAGGTATATCTCTGAAGTCACAGGCACAATGGAAGAGATGGGAAGCCTATCTGGCAAGGGCATGTTCAGGGATGCTCGAACAGAGGCTGAGCAGCAGATTTACATTCAGTTAAGGTATAAAATTGATGAATCTATTGAACTGTGTGAATATGATTGGATGTTGGAGGAGGCCAAGGGACGAGCAAGCGATAACATCTTGGATTTGGTTGCATTCTTGGAGAACACCTTTCGTTCATTCACAAACCTCCCTCTGGAAGTGGCCCAATCAGCTTGCCTTCATGCCTGTCAGCACATTGGCCAGCAACTTCTATCAATCCTCTTAGACAAGAATATCAAACAGATGACAAATGCAGCACTGACGCAGTTTAACATGGACGTTGTTCAGTGTGAAATGTTTGCTTGCTCTGCCCCAGTGAGAGACATTGACCAGATGGCCTTGCTCATGTGCTTTGCTGACCTTAGGCAGCTGTTAGATTTGTTTCTGTCTTGGGATTGGTCTACCTACTTCCATGGTCTCGGAAAGGAGAACAGTAAGTATTTGAGGGTAAGCCCCAGTGTGTCTTTGATGATGCTTGAGCGTATCAAGGCTGCTGAGAGTCGACCTATTTTCTCCAATCTTAAGAGAAGTGAAAGAGATCGAAAGAAACTCATGGATGCAGTCCATAAACAGCTAAAACAACTGTGTACTGGTGCTGCTGGTGATACTGGTGACTAGGTAAGGCAGATCTATCAAAGCTAGTCTTTTTTTTTGTTATAGAAAGATGTCAACCTTAAATTCTTACATTGAGCCTAGCATTGCTTCTGTTACTATGGATCTCAACTCTTGCTAAGCAAGCCTATCTCTGTATAATTTCTGAAACTTACTAAGATTATAAGTTGTATGATGGAGGCCTAAATCGTGATTTTTAGTTGGATTCTGTATCAATGCTAATAGTTTTTTTCATGTATGAATCTTTCTGCTTGAATTAGAATTCAACCCTCTGATGAAAATGACTTGCTGGAAATCGTGTCCCAATATTCATTGTCATGACTCCTGCATTTTACCCATCAATGCTGGAATCTTTGCAGTTTACTGTTATATTTCAATTTATGAGTCATTTCATTAATTCTTTGCTTTTTGTGAAATGCTTTTTATTTCATGTGATGAATTGCCCCTGTTTTCCTTGCAGCTTCTAAAGTTTCTGCATGTTATTAATTTTTGTTTGTTTTCTGTGATTTTTATGACTGCCTCAAAATATTATTGTACTTTTAATTAAATCTATTTCAATAAGGGCCTGATGCATGATACCTATCAGCTATGCATTCAATATAAGTGTGGTACCAAAAGTATTTATGTTCCAGTAACATTATAGCAGGCCTAATGCCAAAGTAATTCTGTGGTTTGAGAGAGCTGTGCATGTCCTCTCCATGTGTGCCTTGCTTTTAGACATAATGTATATGTACTTGTCTTCCTCTGTAATTGAATCTGTGATTCTCATAACTTGACAGCTGCTCAGTTGCATCTAGAGAACACCATACTCACACAAGATGTAATAGATAATATGAATCCATAGTTGTCAATTGTTTTTTGGACCAGTTCTCCTTAACCAGCAAGCTTTGATGTCATTGACTTTGGCTGTGCTTTCTTGAATATTATGTGGAATCATTTTCTATGAACTGAAAATTACACTACTGAGATTTGTTCATGTTCTACTATGGAATGCTGGCACCAGTACTGATATTCCTATAATAATTTGCATGTATGTAATAAAGGCAATACTGCTGATTCATGATTTTGGGTACAGAAATCATTTATTGCATCTCACTTAGAGGCAGTTCTTTTCATTGGTAGATCCAGGAACAATTTGACCCTGTAGCATTTACTGTGTCTGACTTGGGAAGGAAAGTGATTTTTATAAAATTGTTCCTTTGAAAAAATGTGACCTGGACACATGGCTATACTCTATTGTGAATCATTCCCTCATGACCTATTGCCATACTTGTAAATTGCTGAATGCAAATGCAAATATCAGACAAAGATAGATTACTGATTTTTATTTTGCAATTATTGTCAAAATATTTTATGTATAATTATTAATTAATTATTTTGCTGCTATATATGTTCAGAGATTTGAAATATCTCATTTGACCTTCAGAAATCCTCCTTCAATACATGATAGAGGAACAAAAGCACAGTTAATCTCTTGCTCTGTATGAGAATATGCAATTTTTCCCTCCAGTTGGAGAGTGGACCATTTCACCATTGTATATCCCAAATGCTTGGTATTGCTAGGAGAGAGAGCAAACCCAAAAAGAATATACTCATAAAATGATACTGAATATACAATGCACATTACCACTATTTGCAAGGCCTATTTATGACTCAAGAAACATTTAAGAATTTGTTTTTGCATTGTTATCAATTTTTTTTATTATACCTCTTTGCTCTCCAGATGGTTTTTACTGGCCAGTCTGTGGATATGTTCTCACCCAAAGAGAGCTAGAATAAATGTTATATTTTCTTATTTGAATGCAAGGTATTACCCAGGAATATGAGGAACAGATGAATTGAGCTCTGACATGAATTTTTTTTCAGTTCAGTTTTGGTTTCACCAGGAACATTTATTCTTATGCTTTCAGTTGAGGTTTGACTGCTACTTTGTTCAAGTTATTGACTATAATCCAGTTAACTTAGCTCCTGAACAAATTTTTGTTTGAAGTATGTATTGTTTACATTTCCAAATGAAATTCTACAGTGTGTCCACAAAGTCCCTTGATGTTTTAAAGATTCACTGATAGCACACTGTTTTGCACATCCAAAACATCAGTATGTTGTCCATCACTATCAGTACATAACTGAATCTTTCTCCAAGTTCACTTGGACATTTTTCTTAAAGTTACAGGTTGTATAGAAAATAAAGCATCCTAGACAGCAGTTTTCAATTTGTCCACATTTGACATGAAGCATTGGGAAACATTCTGCTTTATGATTCCCCACAAGCTGTTTGGGGTTTTGAGATCATTCAGTAACCCATACTCTGGCAACTAGTCTTTCTTCAATAGCTAAATAACTAATGTCTATCATAATTAACTTTAAATAGGATATATCACTTCTATGATCTGAAACAAAAAAGAGAAATGGAATATCAAGAGCCTTTGTGGACACTATATTTCAATTGAGGCAAATAAATTGAGTATTTCTTGCCCTGCAATAAGTAACTTTGTCACTCATACCATAAGTTGATTTGACAGCTAGCATCATAAATGTAGGAATGCAGTGACTTGTCATAGTTTTTCCCCATTTTAGATGGAGTATTTTTATTTTAGATTAAGTTTGGAAACACCAAACTTCATTTCTTCATTACCAAAGCCTACAGAAGCACAAGAAAATATCTAGGGTGATTTAACATCATGTATGGCTGAATACTGAAGGTATGAAAAGGAGCTAAATGAATTTTAACTGGTTCCAAATCTGATTTTCAATCCTGGCTCTCTTGTTATTTCAGTTCAGTTTATAATTTCAAAAAATTGAAAATGTAAATTTTATCTTGTGGTTGGTCAGCATAATGTTTATAGCTCTGTGGAACAAATGCAATCTTTAATCTCCTTTTTTTAAATTTTTTTTACCTACATTGATCACTTAGAAATTATTATACTGGGTATGGCAAAAAAAGGCATCCAAGAAAATCTCTGGTCTTACTAGGGGTTATCCAATATGAAATCAACATGGCCATACATCTGACGACCTCAGATTTTAATGAGATCTGGTGAGCAGATTCTATTGGGAAATCAATCTGCACCAAATTTCATTTCTTCAGGTCAAGTACTCATTGAAGAACATTGATTTGAATATTTAAAAAAATACTGATTTCTCATTTGGTGTTCATCGCTCAAGTCCTTGTAAGTTTTGTCTTAATTAACGAGATGAGATGAAATAGGTGTAATTTTGTAGATCCTTTCATGCCTTTTCTCGTGATATGTATTTCCTGGAGTTTGAATGAAAATGGTCAAGAGGCCTAGCCTTTAACCTTGAATCCAAAGGGGAGAAAGGGTGAGTGCCTTCACCCCCCCCAACACTAAGTACTGAACATGATATCCTCAATTTTCCTCTCATGATATGCCAAATTTCAATATTGGAATACAATTGGATAAAAATATTATGAAATCAAGACTGCAAGTGACTCAAAACCTGCCATTCGATGGATTCTAGTGTCTAACTTTGTTGAAAGAAAACCTCACCTTCAACCACATCAATCTGACTGCTTAGACTGGGCTCTCCTTGACTTGACTGAGATGATGACTTTGTGTGCAACTCAGTTCTTGGTAACTCAAATATTTGTGCAATTTTCTTCCAAGTATTGGGACAGATCTTGTCTCAAAGTGTTATAGAAGGGAGTTTGTTACACATCCATTGCAGAACTAGTATATTGTGGTTCTTGAATGCTTGACTTTGTCAAACATGTTGCAGCAGGGAGTAAGTTGCTATGGTTGATCCATCTCCCTGGCATCAGGAAGACTAGAAACAACCAACACACCATAGCACAAATTTACAAATAACAGCTGAGAAACTGGAACACAAACTAGTGAAACACTGAGGGGTGGGTTCATTCAAGTTTGGTGATCTTGGTGGTCATTCAACATATTCTCAGTGACAACATGACAGTCTGTGCCTACTGGCTGTGGGGCTTCCTGAAGTGTTCTTTGAGAAGCCTGTAGATGTTCATGTTTTGTCTCTAGCAATTGACAATCACATTGCAGATAATTCTGCTGGAATTTGTGCAGTGTGCATTGGATGCAGTGCAGTGTGCATTTCTCCTAAAATGTTGTAATCACTGCATCACCACAGATGGGCAAAAGTTTGAACACTGACATCATCCTGTTGCATCTGTGTGTCTTTCACATATGTATGTCTTTCACTTTCTGCATTGACTTAATGTGGGGTACCAACATTTCAAATTGCCTGGTTCTTGTGGTACTTATTTAAATACCACACCACAACCTTCACAACATGTGACCAGAACTCTGGAACACCCTGTATATGTTACTTTGTGGGACCCTGTTAAATCAAGATACTTCTACAACCTACTAAAACTTTCTAGCATCCTCCAGATATTTCTTCTACAAATCCCCAGATAATTCAGGCTACCACTAGTGGAAGTTTTATCCATGAGTTTCTGACCAATTAGATATATCCAGGTTTTTTCTGATACATTCTCTTCAGACCTTTGGTCATTTACTGCTGCATTTTCCTTAATATGTATATTTTGTTCCATGGTAGCCAAAATGGAAATTCAGTTTTCTGATGAAAAGAAATTTCATGGCATGTGCAACTTAAAAAAAACAACCCTACATGTTCTGGGATTCAAGGTCAGACTTATATTTTATGACCTTCGAACTTTTTTTCGCTGAAACTCCATGAAACACATATGAAAGGACATCAGAAGAACTTCATTATGCCACAGAGTTCATATTGCTACATTAATTAAGAAAAAACTTATGGGCACCTGAGTGACAACCATTGGACTGGAAATATGATAGATACTTTTTGACTCCTCACATCAATGTACCTCAAAATGTGATTGACCTAGGGAGCTGAAGTATAGCTTGGCTCAGCTTCTCATCAGGCCCTACAAACTTGCCAAATTTAATGGAGATCAGAAGGGGTTGGGTCAAATTTAATTTCTTTAATGTTTGATATGGAATGACTCCAGGCTCTTTTTCATGGAAATTGCCCTGTTCGTAGGCTGACATGATTTCAGAAGATTCATGCAATTTTATATTTCACTGAAGCAAAGCCTTGAGCATATTCAAAATAAGTTGGATATTAACACATTGAGGACCAGCACCCTACACTGCATGAATACCTTCAGAGACCTTAAGGGGTTCAAAAGCAAAACACATTCATGCACAAAAAAATTTCTTTACTGTACTAAATTTGGTTGAAACTTGCAATATGTCATCTCAGTTGCCTCTAGTACATTTTCAGAGTGTGATACCTTTGAAAGCACTCTCCCTTATGAAAACAAAAATGCATGTCTCCTGTTCTCAATGTGCTAAAAATGGACTGGAGCATGTGCTGGTAGTCAAGAGGTAACACCTTTGCTCTCTGGTTGCATATTATCCAGGCTACATCAACATCTGTAACATTTAAATTCTTCCTTTGAGGTGGCCTTTTGTTGCAGATGGTTTTGATGTGCCTTTTTTTTTAATGAATAACTTGTAAGTCAATTGTCCTCACTATAGAGAATTTTCTTTAAATATCTTCAAATTAATCCCTCATTTATGTATTTATGCCAGCAAAGGAAGAAGGCTGAGTCTTCTTTGCTGTGGGAAGACTGGAGTCCCTTGTGCATATCCAGTTTCCAATATCTTTGGAGTACTCACTCGTAGCCTTGTGTTGGCAGAACAAATTTTAATGAAATTTCAAGTGGGAACATATCAGTTTATGCATAGTACAGGTTCCTTAAAACTGGCTTCTGTTAGAGCAATGATGTTAAGGATGTAAGTTTCTGGTCTTTTTTTGCCATTACCTATATTTTGAAGTTGCATAAGAGATTTACTGTTGGCCTGTTTTGACCTTTGCATTTGTGTACTTGCAGCTGAGATGCAGTCCACTGAAGAATTAGACTACATGTCAGATGACTTCCTTCAGACATGGTCAGATGCAGCCTAGATAAGGAATTGCACCCTTCCAAACACTGTTTGAATGAATTAGGATATCATCTGTGTTCATTGTTTTTTCTTTTGAATAGTGTTCAGCAAGATGTGAGGCCAGGGCTTCTGTCACAGTCTCACAAACGATCCCATGAGCTCTTGAAAAAAAAATCTGAGGATCGGGCCAAGCAGAAAGAGCAAAATAAACCAAAGCATATTGTGGAGGCAGAAAAGAGGGAAGAGGGTCTGCAGAAGGCAATCTCTTCTGACAATAAGGGTTTTGCTCTTCTACAGAAAATGGGCTATAAGCCTGGGACAAGCCTCGGCAAGCAAGGTCAGTCACAGAATTCTCTTTTTCTGAAAATCTGTGGGGATATATATATTATATATATCTTAGCTGATGCAATAGGAATAGGGAGTTTTTTTTTAATTTGTGAACACATATTTAGAGGAGTGCTCAGCTGTGGCTTTGTCTAATTTAATATATGATCATGCTAATTTTATTTGATCTCATGGAACTAGGAGGTGGTCGAGTGGAACCAATCAGCATAGAGATGAAACATGATAGGGGAGGACTGGGACAAGCAACACTGAGAAAAGAGATGGAAGAAATGAGGAAAGAATTAGCCAAGAAAAGAGAAAAACTTATAACTATTGATGGATTTCGATCAAAGGTAAAAGACAAAATGAGGGAGCGACATCTTCTTGCTGACATCCTCAACAGCCAGAAAGCTTGCCTGGATCTTGATTCTTCTGAAGTATGTCCTGTCTTGTTGCTAAATGGCTAAGCTTACTAATCTGAGAATTGTGAAGATTGCAGTCAGGGTAGTAGAACTTTGAAATGTTGGATATGACAGATTCTTGTTTGTATGTTTGCTTCAGGGCATAGAGGATCCTGTAGAGAGATGGTATTGGCCATCAGAACACTGGAAGGTGCTCCAGGGCCCAACTGAAGATGAATCTGATGATGAAGATGAAGATGATGTTGAAGAGGAGGATGAACCTTCAGTAAGATAAATTCTATACAAATATCTGAATGGGAGACATAATCATTCAAATGTGCAGGTGTACTGCTGATGTCATCAAGATTTTTTCAGTGTAAATATACTGAAACAATCTTAATACATTGTGTTATGGATGTTTTGCTCTCAAGTGAATGCTCATCTTAATGAAATCAGAATTGTTTTTCATGCAAGGGGAAAGCTTATGGGCTCATTGATCTGTTCCATTCTTGGCGAGATGCAACAGAAGCATTTATGCTCTCTTTCCCCTGCACTTTTCATGCTATGATTAACCCTTTCCCTGGCATTGACATAATACTAAATCAGGTGCATTCCATTCTCTGTTTGGCACTGATGTATTTTTCCGTTTTTATGCAGGGTTTGCTTTAATCTACATCCTGCCATCTTGGAGCTACATTAGGAGCTATAAGGTCCTATATTTGTGTTTAACAGACTGTTGTAAAATTGTCACTTGTGGCTTAAAGCAAATTAAAAACAATATTTGATGAAAAACTATGCAATAAGTCTTGCCTGGTCACTCACTTGTCAAGATGTCAGGTGAAGTGCAAACATTGAGTGCAAGCGACATTTTGGAAGAATTAACTTTGGATTGTGAGAGGGACAATTATAAATTGATTCCAAATGTAGCTGATGAAGATTCCTCAGACGTCACAGTTTGACAAAATTGATGAATGTGGAAATGCATCATTCATCAAGCCTCATTCTCTAATTCTCATTGGATTAAGAGAGACACAGTTCCTTGCATGACAAAAATTGACAGAAAAATGGGTTTGCAGGTTGACATTCCAGTTCCTTATGGTGCATTTGCATGGCTCACATTGTGTTTATTATAGATAACTTTGTGAATCGCCTTGTCAGTGCTGCCAGCCAACATGCAAGTCAGTACATATAAACCCTAAATATCTTGCCACCATCAAGAGAAAACAATTTTTTAAATGTTTCTTTAGAATCAGAAGAATGCATATTGATTATTATATGCCTTTTCCAGCATCACAACAAATTTCCATCTGTTACCTGCCAGATAGCACTTATAAAGCTTTCTGGAACTGATTTTCCTCTCCTGGTCATGTTTTGATTGCAACTTGTGAACAATTGACATGTGTAAGGTGAACATCCTTTTGGATGATGTTGCACAATATCTGAGACACTTCAACAACTTTTGTGATAGATCTTTGTTGTTCTTGAGTTTTTTCCAGTTACCAGACAACAAACTTTATTAACCACCTCTGGAGTATGGCTTACACAGGGTCTTTGTCTGGGTGGGCCCAGGTCTCTAACTGTGGGTTCATCCCTTTTTTGTTTCCTCCCATTTAACACCTTACGGATTCCAATTTTCAGCACACTAAAGCCCCTGGTTTACACTTAACACTTACTAATGATCTTCAAATACAAAACTATTTCACATTAGAAAAGGCTATGATGTACCCTTCTCAGTATCGGTCTGTTTTTTCAAAGCATCAAAGCTCAAAGCCAACTATGAATTGTCACATTAAATGTGCACCCAAGCTTAGCACTGAGCCTTTACATCATGGGCTGACAACAGCCTACCAATTCAGTTCAATTTGTCATCATATGTTTTAAATAACCTTTGTTGAAATCCCTGAAATTTGGATTTTTATTCTGACAATTTATGTAGTTGTTATGCTGGAAACCATAATACTTCTATGAGCATAAATGTCACCAACCACCCATGATCCTTTCCTTCAAATCTGCAATGTTCAGGGATAGGACTGGGACCCAAGGGACTTAGCGGTTCTAATAAAATAAACCACAGGGTATCAGTTATGGGTACATGGAGCCTATGTGAATGTGCTCCTGTTGTCATTTCATTGCCCAAGTAAGCAAAGATCTTAAGCACCGAACTGTGAATGTATCTATGTTCATTTTAATGTATGTTTGGCGTTGGACTGATAATGAGAATAGGAGGAAGGAAGTCATGGAATGAGATCATCAATGTACTTATTTTCACCCTCTTGAGTGGGTTGGTATGCTATTATGGATGAAGAAGAAAGCTAAAATTACAAAAAGAAGTCTTGCCCAAGTGTGACAAGGTTTCTTCTTTTGCTTCCAGGCTGAAGACAAACTTGAAATGCTGACAGTGTACCTGAGGACTAAATACTTCTATTGTGTCTGGTGTGGCACACGCTATGAGGACAAGCGAGACCTTCAAGATCAGTGTCCTGGACTGTCAAGGGAAGATCATGAATGATCAATGTTTCTGATCTGAATTGATGATGAGAGACTGTTTTTTGAACAGTCACCAATATTTCTGAGCTTTGTTGCAAGTCTCTGGGTCATGAAAGCAATCTAACCAACAAAGAATAGCTTTTGATTGTGTTTTAGATGGACGTACTTCAGTTTCATGCATGTAAGACACCTAAAATGACACACCTATGTTGAATTTAGGACATCCTTCAGAAGGCAAGGATCAGAAATGTAATGATTTCTCAACCCCTCTTTGCTGATCAGATAAACAAAATGATGACTGGCGCTTTTTCCTCCAGAAATGAGGAAAAGCCAAGTCAGTTGGGGAAAACAAAACATTCATGCATACATCATGGTGAAGTATTGTGCCAGGTGCACAATACTTCACCATGGTGCCAAGAAGTCAAAAAGAGCTAGGAAGTGAATGGAGGTGTTCGAGGTGTAATATGAATATGAAGTGAAACGCATTCAAGCCTATTGTCATTCATTGTCCTTTGCCTTTAAGAAAGGTCGAAGCAATCAGGGATCTCAGCACAATTGGGCACGCGTCGTCATCTACATTCAGCTGATTCACGCCAGCTCCGATTTCCTCTGCTTTTTCATGCTGGTATCAAGGGCTTTCTACATCCTGGATAGCTCATCCACACTATATGTACACTTCTTCCTCAATGAATTTAAGCCTTTCCCAAATTTCACTTTTAGTTCTATTTGGGGGTCCAACATACCTTAGATTTACATGAGTTAAAGAGGGCACTAGAGTCATATATTATGCCAATATAATATATGCCAACATTTTGCATCCTATGTAAGTGGCAAAGTGTGTTTTAAAGTGTAATGCAATAAAATTTCAGTGATGAATTGATTTGCCTGTGGCATTATGAACTTCTACTTGTTCTCAAATGCAGTTGAAGTGCTTTGAGCTTCATCAAACTTACTTCTTAGTGAATGAATACATTGTTTCCCTCTGTGATCATTTTTCCTCATTGTAGCCAAAAGCCCATCAGCCACATTTTACCAAGTGTACTAAATGCACTTTGGCTTGAAAATTTTATTTGAATTAAGGGGTAATTTGACTGTCCCAGGGGATGATCCTCATTCTCTAGAGCCATTTTAGGGTAAAAATTTACTGTTTTCATTCCATTTTATATTGTTTTCTCTCCTTGATATAGAATTTGATTATTTATTACTTTTTAAAATATTGTACTCAGGACAAAAGCAAAGCTGCAGGTAATTGCATCATTGCTGGATCCTATGGATTCCTGTGTTTTGCTCATGTGCCTGTCACCTGATAAGTTTCACCTATTTTATTGAATGTGTCAGGCAGGAACAGTGTGTATTTCTTCAACAGAATCCAAATATCCTGTTGCCATATGTTTTGACAGTTGAGTCAGCATTTGCTGTGGTCAGAGACCTGGCACGAGCCATTAAATGGTGCAGTTAGTGATTTATAATGAGTGCTTTTGTTTCTCATTGTGAGAAGTGTGAGTGGGTGGGCTGGGTTCCTTGATCTCCTGCTTCTGCCCCATATATCTTTCAATTGGAGTTCATTGCCTTTCTTGCCTCTGTTTCTCTGACTGGGAACGTTTATGAGGAGTAATGGCCTCTGAAGTATATGGAAATAAGATTTATTGTTAACGTTATTGTAATTACAGAGACCACCAGAAACTCGAAGGTTTGTACGGGACATCCCGGTCTATTATGGGTGCTTCCAAAACCCAATAGGGAGTACTTCCGGCCTCATTATCTCGGTCATCGGGTACATCACTGGAAACGGAAATGTCCCCTAGAAGAGGAAAGATAATCCCACCTCTTTCAGACCCTATGAATTAGACAAAAGAGCCGAGTTGAATCGTTATTTATGGCGGATTCTCCTGATTCGCAAAATCGGATCTTCTTCAATGTAGTCGGCCTTCAACACGATTGTTCATGTATGGTAATGTCAGTCATTCTTTGTTATTATTGAGTCATTTCGTAAATACTGAAACTTACCTCGAATTTAAAAAAATATTTACTTATTAGTTGATTCTAATTTGCATGAACTTTTTAGTTTTTAGATGTTCTGTAGCAATGTGCAATATTACTGCGGAAACGTAAATACTACAAATATTCCAATTTCCTTCAATACTTTAAACGTGTATTTCTAATAGTAACTTCTGGATGAAGTGAATATCTCGTCTTGGTCATCACCTAGACCGCAGAAGCCATCAATTTATTAACATTACGCTTGTGACTTTAAAGGGTTTCCCCTTTGTATGTAACCTCACCATTGGCCATCAACTGCAGGTTGATCTCAAAATTGGGTCGCATGTACGAGTGGTGGAATTGAAGTCATTTCCATTCGGTTCCTCGAGAGCTTTCAAGTGGAGCAGCCACCCCTGGGTCTGTTCTCGGGTGATCTGGAGAGCCCTAACGTGAAGTTTCATTACATCTGTGCCTCTTGCATTCCGATCAAAAGTTCATAAACTCTAATCCCTGAAGAATACAAATACGAATTTTTTTCCATAATAATAAGGCTTCCTTCCTTTCTATTGCATCAATGAGCACCACTCATGATATTTATGGATGTGATAAAAACGTAACTGTGGAGAAACTGCATCGAATTCGCGTTCGTGACCAGGGATGCCACATGACCATGTTCCCGGGACATTCAAAAGCGTTTCCCGAACCTGCTAGAACCGCGAAACCATTAAATTGAGATGGCTATCGAGAAAATGAAGGGATGGGGATGGGTCCGGGTTCAAGTATTTCGCCTGTTCATTTCGGTTCGTTCAGTGTCGGTTTATTTTGAGGGAGCAGGACGTTAAGTTGGAACCAATTTCGATGTTTCCTGTCCTGCTACTGGACGGCGCAAAGCAATGATTCATACCTGCATGTGCAAGGGAGGTTACGGAGTACTTCATGGTTAGCAATTAGCAATCTCATTAGCATTTCTTAGGCGACGTCATCAGCGGCGTAGCGTCGGGGGGGGGGGGGAGGAACAGTGAAAAGAAGCGAAAAACAAGGAAAAGACCCATGAAATGCATGAGTGCGACAGCGATGCATGCAATGCTACGAAATGCAACTGTGCCCCAGAGTTCCTGTGCACCCCGGTGCACCCCCACTTATTCTATCCACACTACGCTTATTGGCGTCATATGTAAAGGGTGAAATGCAGAGAAAAACCATGGAAACTGGCGCGCTCAGACACTATCTGCACGACTGTACGTGCCCCCAGTGGAAAGTGCTTGCCTAGTCCCCGATTCGGGAGAATTACTCATTTTTCTTGCTGCTCGGATTTTTAAATCGTAGGCAGAGAGGAAATCCAAGAGCTGCTTTCCGACCTTATTGCTCGAGAAAAGGAAGAGAACTCCAGAAAAAATGTTTTCCGTGGTTCCTCTCCTCCCGCCCTTCCCCCTTCCGCCCCCCCCCCTTTCCCCTTCCCCTTCCCCTTCCGCCCCCCGCCCCCCAAATTCCATAAATGCGCAAACCCTTGTCTCCACTTGGCACGATGTCATGGAAGTCTTTTTTTTGCGCCGTCCAGATGCCCTTTTCGCAACCGGCTTGGTTTATCAGAGCCATCGCACTTCTCGCCTCTCATATCGATGGCAAAGCCCAGTCCCCCATAAACGCCAAATGACGTCACCCAATTGCTGCTAATGGTTTAATCGTCACCGGCCATTTAAAAGGAAGACCCAAAGCCCCCCGTCTTCCCCCTCCTCCTCCTCCCCCGAATGTGCATCAGCAGAATATATTAAATCCGTCCGGACTTCATAACCACCCTGTTTTTCTCGTGACGCCGAGTTATCTAGAAGAGGGAAACACGCTGACAAGAAGCAGGATTTCCTCCCCGGCCAAGGGAATGACTCGCCCTGGAAATTTTCATTTCCATTTTTTCCGTTCGGGGTCTTCGCGCACTTCCGCTCCCACACGCGATCGGGTTGTCGAGTCAGCGCGCTTTTCTTAATCCCCTCTTTTCTTAATCTCCTCGGCCTTGAATCGCAACGGCGGGTACCATCAGCACTTTTCGCGGGGAATTGAGACACGCGCGCTTGTTGCCCAAGAAAGCCTTATTAATGGCCGTCGATTCCGAGACAAAAACTCGTATTTAGCGAGAATCCATTGAACGCGCCGTGATGAGGCACTTCTCCGCACAATCGCAGGGGTAGGGATCCACAAAAAAACATTAAATAGTGGGGAATCGTGAATTCTCTCGGTTGCTCCAACGGCTCGTTCTCTCTTTGTTGGCTCGGACGCAAATTAAACACTCGGCGCAAGGCGAATGCCGACGCTAAATTACAAGGTGTTCTTTTCACCGGCTCCATGACCATTTATCCGGCTGGTAAACGTTGGATTAAGAGAGTTTATCCGGCTGGTAAAAGTTGGATCGAGAGGATTCGTCCTGGCATGTAGAAGTTCAACTTCTTTCGTTCATTACTTCTTCAATATCGATTTTATCGGAAGTTGCTTCGTCCAGAAGGCGAAAAAATCGTCGTGGAGAATTCCCCCTTAACGTTCACGCAATATCATTTTGGCCTTTTTTTTTTCTCTCGTCTTGCGGTTTGATGAAGATGCAGCCTCTTTCGCAACCGGAGTGCAAGTGCTCTCTGGCCTTGCACAAGAGGGGAAAGCCAGCGGAAAGCCAGCGGAGATTCATCGAGGTTTCCGCTTCTGCGAATCATCGTCTTTACGCCGTTCCGATTTCCTTCGCGAGCGCGGGTATTTGGGTTGCGTCGCCGAGACTAAAACCACGAAAAGTACTCATATGTTATATGTATGGAAATTCTAATAAATATTGATGCGTGACGTGTCGGGTAGGAAGTTGTGTCGTCGAAATTGGGCGAAATTTTAGTGGAAATTCCATGAAGACTCCGGGCCGGCGTGACATTTTTCTTCTCTCGTCTGAGAATATAAAAAAAGAAATTGAAAAAGAAATTTTTTACCATTAAAGAGTCTGGAAGCAATTATGCTTCATTTGTTTTGCGTCTTGCGTCACATCAGAGTCAGGTGATATTGCGCATTTTCTACACCGTTCGTGGAGGCGGCACTAATTGCACGGCTTGGAGTTAATTACCTCTTCCCCCTTCGACCCGTGCCCGAATCGGGATTCGCGATGAGTGGCGGGAAAAAAACTTCCGATTAGATAGGAAGCCTTTGGTTCGCGTGGGCGGGCTGACTCGAGGATTCCGAGTTAAAGGGGCAAGGAACTGCCCCGATTATTTGCGGCGGGACTTGGGACCGTACGTTATATAACGTTCTGGAAGGTCGAGAGCAGGAAAACGAGGGACAGAAAGGTGTTTTGAGGGATGAGGAGAAGGGGTTAAGTTAAATCCCCGAAGAAGGAAGAGGATTTCATGAACAAAATCGAAAAAATCCTGCTCCAATCTTTACCAATGTATTTTGTGCTCGACAGATGATTCGTAGGTTAACTTCGGTGCCAAATGAAAGTTTCATCATTAAGAAGTTTCCCACCGGTGCCGTGGTACCTTTTAATGAGAAGCTTCCAGACTTGCGGGATCGATGGCTGATTCCGTACCACTCCACGACTACCATAATTAATGTTAATGTTTTAATGGCCATTATTACCGAGTGCGATGGAGGAAAATGCATTCCTTGCCCCCTCGTGCTGATTAAAATTCTTATTCTCCGGCATCGGGACGACCACCTCTAGAAAATCCGCATGCGTGATGTCCACGCATCCAAAGGACCCCATGCCCAAAATAATTCCAACTTTATACAGGCAATGACGCAGCCTGGAGGGAAAAGGGCTCAACCCCCCCCCCCCCCCCCCCCCCCCCCCTCTTCAACAGTAAACTGGGAAGAGAACAATGACGCAGCCTGGAGGGAAAAGGGCTCAACCCCCCCCCCCCCCCTCCCCTCCCCTCCCCTCTTCAACAGTAAACTGGGAAGAGACGGAGTAGGGCTGAGCTCCTCCCGCCACGCCCCTGCCCCTGGAAACGATTTCAACTATGCCAGTGGGGAGGCCAGGGATATTCCAGCTCCCCTTTCGCGGAATCCCAACCGCGCCACTGTGTTCGGACCTTTGCTGCGGAAATGTATGACGTCCTCGACGAGGTACGGTCACCACGAAGAAAGAACTTAGCTTTCATCTCATGCCAAAATTCGACCCGAAAGTTTATTTGCTCTCGAGCCAAGGTGGCCAGACGCAACGTTTTACACGAAACAGCCCCGGTTGGCAGGCCGAAACCGGCGACTCCGGATTCCTCTGTTCGGACGAGTAAATCTCGCGGTTGCACAACGCCAAGAAAGAAAATCGAGTCGGGGAGGGATCGCATGCACGATGTCCCTTTTTTCCCCTTCCCCCTTTTCCCCTTCCCCTCTACTCCCGATGGCCTACATCGATTCCACACCGATGCCGAGCAAATCCGTACCGATTCGTTTGCATCACAACGACGACACCCGAGTGCAGAGTTTCCCGACTCGAGCCGCAGAGACCGCACCCATTCATCGAATGAGGACCCCCACCGAGACGTCTGGCCCACGTAACGTCGCAGTTAAAAAAAAAGACGGAGCGACCAGCTCGCATCTGTCGAGGCCGAGGAACGACGTCCATCCCCGTCCGGTCCAGAGCTTCCCTCGCACCACACTAGATGTCTCCGTGCGGCACGGATGGCGAGCAGACCCCACGGAGACCCAGCTCACGATTCCGCGCTGGCAGTGGAGAAGCGCGACCTCAACTTCATCCGTCTCCGTCTCGACCCTCCCGATTGAAATCCGACAGGATGAGGCAAGGAGTACTTCATCCTCGGTACTTCGACCTCGGTGCTTCGACCAAGGTGAAGCAGAAAATGATTCCAGAGTCGTTGCGACCAGTCGCTTCATGAGATTCCGGTGATTTTCACATTTCTGTGGAAAGAAATTGCTGGAGGCTTCTGGGTCTTCCCGTATCGATTAGGAGGGGATTGGCACGAGAGGCGCCTATATCGAATAAAACGATAGTCGGGGATTACGTGCGAAGGCTGTCGGGGGCGAATCGACCAGTCAAGACAGGATGAGGCAATTCCAAAGAATTTTCTCAATCTCATCCTGTTTTTTTTATTATTTTTTTTTTACGCCTCATGCCTTTGAAAACTAATTGAGGCAATCGCCTCGATGTCTCTCTGCACCTGAGTCTGCAAAGCTTTCGCGAAGCTTCGAGCTTCACCGAATCGACAAAAGTGGAAAACTCAACATCCAATTTGTTTCGGAAACTTTTTCATCGCCCAAACAAATAACGTAATACGGAATTGGGAAACCGGAGATGAGCGTGATGGAGCGAATGACCGCCCGCAATGCATTTTTCGGATTTAACCTACATCATGATGATGCATTGAGCAACGAAACAACGCGCGAAACTGTGTCATTCGAAAGAAACGGACTCCGCCCCCAATAATTTTCGGACTTCGCTGCCTCAGCGACGAAATCAATTGCTCTGGAGCATAGTTATTCCACAACTCGAGTCCTATTTCCTGGCCGGAAGTTGGAAGCAAAGTTTCAAGCCTAAAAATAGTCCCGAATCATTATTACGGAGTCGTTCTTCCTCAGTCTGAGCTTTGGACTCGGAGGAAAAAAAAAAGTTCACGATCTCATTGCTTTTATTTCATTTTATTTTTACAATTTCTCAAAATGTACATTTCGCGATGAAAGCTAATCCGTCCCCTGACGTGCATCCCTAAACGCCTTCGAATCTTGTCATTTATACTCTAGTCATTTATAGGGAATCTTGTCATTTATAGGAAATACCGTCTGCCCGGCTGTCTGGGATTCCTTGATTCCCATTTCTGCGAGAAGTTCCGAAGTAATTCCGGCCGTGCCGTTTGAAGAAGAAGCGAGCCCTCAGAGACGGACGTTTCCGTCCTTTTCGTGGAAAAGGGCTTCATCGAGCCTCACGTTTAGGATCTTTTACGTCTCGGTGGAATCGTCGGTCGGTTTGCATAATGGGCTCGTTATTGCAGACGAGACCTTTCCTTCCTACCTCTTTCGGCAGGATTTTAAATTTTCCGTGCCATTTCCGAGAGACCGAGTTGTATCTCGCGCATTCCCCCCCCCCCCCCCCCCCCCCCCCCCNGTCGTGGAACACTCACGACTTTCCCCCCCCCCCCCCCCCCCCCCGACGGAAACCCATTCGACTTCGAATGAAAAAAAAATGGGATCCGAAATTCGTATTAAAACGAGTCCGACCTCGAGGGAGAAGCAGCCGAGCCGGCGCGACATTCCGCCATAACGGCGAGGGGGAAATCGAAAAGTCAAAAGACGTGTCGCTCCACCCCCGGACGATCCCTTGCGGATAATTGTGAAACTGAACGAAAACAATTCGCCCTTTCGCGAACCACCCGACGTGCGAAGACGGTGACGAAACGGGACAAGTGGAAAGGCATCTTCCCCTCTTCCCTCAAAAGGGGGTCATACCTTTCCACTTCGCTGCCCATTCTGTTATAAATACCTGTTGACAGCTTTCGTAATGGATTCCGGCGAGGAAACTCGCATACGAAATGAGAGGAAATCGAATGAACCGGTAGGTGAACTCGAGTGAGTTCCTTCCGCTTGAAAATGGTATTTCATTTCCTTCCAGGAACTAAAAGAGCAACGGTAAGAGGGAAAAAGGGAGATAGAAAAAGTTAAGACGTATTATAAAGCCGATATTGACATGGAAGAGGATGATGGCGTTGACCAGCGGAAGAGGAACATCGTCATCCGCCTCAGCCAACTGTCATGACTTGTCCAGGAACTTTTTTTTTTTTCTGCAAAAAGCGAAAAAGTCATTGCTGCAAAAAAAAAATATACCTCGTAAGGGAGGGCGCATGAAGGAAAGAGGAAGAAGGCAGAGGAGTCGAGCTTTTTTTTTTTTTTCTTCCTCTCTTATGTTGTTACCCCCTGGCGTCGGCGGAGCTGTCTGCGTAATGGATGCGCGCTGCACTAGTGGAGTAGAAGGGAAAAAAAGGGAGAAACTTTTCAAGTTCAAGGCCAATAGAGCCCTCTGCGGCACCTCCACTTCATTCGAGCGACTTACTTTCATCGAATGCGGAAGCACCTTGCTCCCGGTGAGTTTATCAAGTATCTGAGTTGCGTTACTTCGCTTTTACATGTGTTCTGTGGGGGTTACGTTCGTTGAATGGAAAATAGTGTACGATGAGACTGGGCGTGCAGGAGGTTTCTATGCAGCACGTGAAACATGATCGATTGTCCATGGTCAGCCTTGAAATGAGAAGGAGGGTAGTAGGTGTGTGGGGCACTGGGCAGTGGTGGTAGCGTGGAGGAACCGGTGTCCATCGGGGAGGCCGGTTCTTGGGTGGTGGTGAGAGTGTTTAGTGTGAGTGAGTGAGTGAGTGAGAGGGAGAGAGAGAGAGAGCGGTGTGACTACAGCGGGCTGCTTCCCATCCGCGTTCAGTCCCTTCCCAGCCCCGTCTAGGGTCGCGCCGTTCTGCCTTTCCCCAGCAATGCTTTTGCTGGTTATGTCAGTGACTTCCCACCAAATCCCATCTCTCCCAGTGGAGTCCCAGAAAAACTGATTTATTCGTGCCGTCCGAAACGATAGCGTGAAGAAGCTCGGAGAAATAAAAGAGACCCCCCCACCCCCGAATCTGTGATATCGTGACCATGTCCACTGTCGAGTCTTCCGCCATAACCGGTGACGCCCTGCCTATGACCACCCTTTGCATGGAATGGGCTGACGAATTTGTGAGTGCCACCCACCTTCTTTCCATGTTGAAATCTTACGTCTTTCATGTAACGAACAGGAAAAGTCTTAGCTGTCCATAGTTTTGTCGTGAAAACATGAGGTTTGGATAGATTTCGTTAGGTACCATTTTTTTTTAGATAGTAGCATGTTCCTTCATATGGTTATCATTATTGGTACACGCAATCTGAATTTGGCATTGAATAGGTCCTTCGAAAATTTTTATCCTTGTTGGTCTTGGCTTGATATATGTTGCGTTTGGTTCCTGATGGCTGGCAGGAAGGAGCTAACTTGACGGAACAGACATAAAGTCAGGTATGCATAGAAGGAACGTGAATAGCAAGTCGGAAATGTTGGGTCACGAGGATGAAGAAGTGAGAGAGGGAGAGAGAGAGAGAACCGGCATTGGCACGAGTGAATGGAGGCTTGTCAGGCAGCCAGTACCCAATGTAGTGGAGCGAAGGTTTCAATACCTGAACACAGGCAGCCTGTGCATGCTTTTCTGCGATCCTTCCTGAGTAAGCCGGTACCGCCATCGCCATCTGTATCGATTTCGGCTCCCCTTTCTCGCGGTTGGGAAACCTGGTTTTCGTTTTTTCTAAGAAGCATCTGCCTTCAGATGTCTGTTTCCCAGCCGCAAATGAGCCGTGGGATTGTCAGTTCTCTGCTATTGTGCAATAGGGCTTTAATATCAGGGTTCACGGAACACCTTTTCTTTCATGGCGCTCAATGACCCTGCTTAACGAACCGAAGGGGATTCGCTAAGCTCCTTATTGTGTTATATGCGGTCCGGTATGCAAAGAAAGCAGGCAACAATAAACTTTTGGGTGTGAAGGGGTGAAAATGATATTCTTTCATTCTGCAACACCTTTACCCCTTTCTGCGGATAATTCCCCCCATCCAAGCCTGAATAAAACACGTCCCAAGACCTGCAGAACCGAGAGGTAACTTATTGCAGAGGAAAGATGATGATGTATCTATAATTCAGTCTCGTCATGTTCAAGGCTTCCTCGAGGATCAGGGGAAGAATTCTGGTGTATAATTCAAGGACCAATCATTATGTGAGGATTCTTTTTGTTCGTTTTTTCATGAGTTGGGTCTTCGGTCCCGATGCGATTTGAATATGTATCGAACAGGAGGGATGAAAGAGAAAGCGGAGGAGGCGTTTGGGTACGTATCCGTTTTGCATCTGTCTGTCTCGTCAATAAAAAGGAGAGTCTCTTTCATTGAAAAACATGGTGCCGACAGCTGCCTGGGAATAAAATTCGCCCATTCACATTTGATGGACATGCGCCCGAACGTTTTCATTGAACATTACGTTGGTGTATATGCTGGGTTGGTCCTGTTCCCAAAAACTCTAATGGGAATGTGCCTGCTAACAGTATAATATTCTGTCTACCGTCTCTACGTCTGCATGGGCTGCTGAATGCGATCCATTCAGAGGGAGTGAGAAAGTGCGTGCACATGCGCATGCGCGCACGACTGAGCCAAACCGCAGTAGGGGCTGCCAACAATATTTTTGTCAGGCATTCTGCGAGATCCATTCCAGAACTTGTTTGATTTATTAGGTACCGTTTGTCAACTTATTTCGTTCTCCATTTATGCCTCTTATCTCGTTCGGGGCTTTTCGAGATTAACCCTTTCGTGCATTTCTCCTCCTGCCCAAGTCTTGATGAAACTGTCGCCATGAAGTTACAGTTTGGCAAAGAACACTCCCAGGAGGCCGTGAGTTTGTCATTGAGCAGTTGAAGAAACATTCGTCACCGGCACGCCTTGGCTCTCCGTGCAGTTTTTTTTTGTTCTTTTGTCGTCTTGCTTGAGAGCCCCTGTCAATATACCCTCGAAGCAATGACTGTTGTCTGGGTAGTCATTGACAGCCTGCCTCTTATATTGCCAGGTTGGGTGAGTTCCAAGGTACCGACTACCTCACGTGATCGAATTTTTGGAACACTTTTCAAGGTCGGGCCAAAGAAAGAAGGTAGGAAGAGAACAGGACGGACCCTTGAGACCGAGAAGTCATTTGACTTGAAGACGAGAGAGAAGGAAGGAAAGAAAAAAAAAAACGAGAGAGAGTGGTCTGTCCAAATGTCCAGTTTGTATGTCCACTCGGTTTCCCCTCGTTTCCTCGGGCTCCATTGGCCAATGGATGATCAGCTGGTGACCTTGAGAAATGAAGCTTCCTCAGACGGCATACCTGTTGCTTCTTTATTGCGCTCGGAATGATAGTTACAGGGTTGCCAGAGATGCCATTCATTTATCAAGCCATCAGCGGGAACATCAGAGGCCTTTGGGGTGTTTTCAAAGATTGGAAATCTCCGTGAATTTTATATGTTCAAAGAGAGGCTTTAGGTGTGACGAAAAGGAACGGATGGGTTTCACGAAATCGGAAGCTTCATAGGATGCGCTGCTCCTCACGAGAGCCGGCGAACGATAACGCATGTATCTGCTCGAACCTGCTAGATTCGGAAGTAAGGAGTCGTGTGATGTAATGCGAGGGAGGGATCGGGCAGCCGTGGGGCGAGCGAGCGAGGAAGAGACGCCGATGCCGTAATACATAACCCGGAACAACCGGTTTTCCCTCTCGGTCTCACACTCTTCCCTCGGGCCATTTCTTCACGGCCTTAGAGCCGTCTCCCCCGCCATTACCGGCCGGTACTATCGTAGTAGCCAGGGGCAGGCAAAAAAAAAAAGAACTGGTACTTACGGCCTCTTTGCGGTCCGTCTACTACACATTCTTTCCTTTTTCATCAATGAAGGTCGTGAGCGCCTACTTTATTTTCGGCGAGTGTGGAAGAAAAAAATAAGTGTCTCGTCTGGCCTTGACAAGTGAAACATCACCGAAGTGAGATCTTATCAATATTATGTAGTTGCAAGCACTGTACTCCATCGCCGCCGACCCTGCCCTTCGATGCTGTAGGCGTACTGATCTTCCCCCCAAAAAACAAAACCCTGGGCCACAAAATTTCATCAATATATGCAGATTTAACTCTGGCGTGATCGGGATTATCGACGATGGACTCGGGCAACGATTGGAAAAAGGGAATTTAGCTAGACAGTGAAATTCCCTTCATTGGCAAGGTCGCAATACAGATGTCACTGTCGATCATCCATCAAAGCGGACACCTGAGAACAACTTCCAAGGCTAGGAAGCAGACTCTTGCATTGCATTGACGGGACTCCCTTTGGGTTGAATCCCGAATGAGTTGAGTCCCAGCTCCGCTGCCAAGATCTCTGCTAAACAGAAGCGGTGTTAATAAGGGGCCACCAGATGTCTCTGTAATGTGTAATTCCTCCCCCTCATACACCCCCCCCCCCCCTAGCCTCGTATCTGCTCACTGGTCGCAGAGGAAAGAAGAAACTCATTTTCTGACCAGCACCTTGCGTGGTCTGTAGTTTATATACATCACGAAAAGTAATATGAGTATGAGCATTGAGATACGGGTGACTTGACCAACTCAGACGTATGTTAAATTCAAAGTATTTACCATGAAATCTATCTCCGCGAAACATAACGGGCTTTGGAAGCAACAGATCAGAATCAAGGACAAGCGGACATGAGGCAACCTTCACATGAGGCCTTGATACCGATGAAACCAGATTCTTTTTTCATTTTTAGTTTCAGTGGATTCGCTCCTCTATGGAAGTAAGTCTTAAACTAAGTATTTGGAGCTAGGATCTCGAGCAGGTTTTGCCTGGATCAAGAAAGATCATTGTCAACTTCAAACAAGTAAACGATTAGAAATGTCGCCCTTCGTTTCCGCTCCGCATCTGGTACATTTCTGAGCCATTTATAGCCTTCAGCATCTCGACTGGAATCACATGAATATATGTAGCAGGAAACTTCCTCCGTTGAATTATCAATGAATTTTATTATAATGACATGCAACAGCAGACAGCACCATCGTGGATAACGAAGCGCCAGATAAGCTCAAAACTGTAGTTCGAAAGCCATTCCTGCCGTAAGGGTCACCCAGTACAAAGGTATTCGGGGCAGGATCCCTCCGGTTTTCTCGAAAGGCTGAGATTTTCCGACTCGAGAGGTTCCAGGCGACGAGGGTCGTAAACACGGACTGGATCGTGTCTCGCGTTGTCAGATACGTGAGCGGCATTCCCTTCATTTTCCCTCCTCCCCTCCCCCATCACTATGCTTCTAAACGCAGATTGCGTCATTACTATTCATGAACGGCGAGGTGTTATTCGCGCTGGTGATTTTCGGCGTGTGTGTGAGGAGAATATCGAAGCCATCTCTCACTCCTCTCCGCGTTATGGGGTTCTCCCCCTCGGCGGAAATTGAATCCCCTCAACATCGTATAAATTTTTTTCCCTGGAAAACAGATTTTCCTGATCCCTTGATCGGCTCCACCCTCTCTTGGCAGGCCGTTGCCATGGCAGCTAATATTCTTTCCTGAACTTGGATAACCTGATGCGTATAATTGAGCTTTCGCGATTCGTTTCCGCCTGGGATAGAGGCACGAGTGATGGCGAAACATCTCGCACCTCCTCTGCTGTCTACTCGAGACGGGCTTTTTCCATCGTTGGGATTAGCGAGATGTGCTTCATGGCTGGTACTAGATACGCTTGTAAGGCCTCCGTGAAAGCTGTGCACATACTGGGAGACAGGTGAGATTTTTCACCATCACAGACACCTCTCACAGTTTTCTTGGCCTCCATCCAATATCAGCGAATCGGCTTTAAGAAGAAAAGACTTGGATGAACGCTGTCGAATCGTCTCCGCCCGTCGCACCCGAGCGTATTAAAAGTTTTTTATATTCTTTTTAGACCGCATGGGGAGACCCTAAAGAGAGAGAGGCTCTTCTCCCCTTACGTATTTTTTTTTTTATATTGCCGGTACTTCTTTTCTCTGGAGGGGTGCCGGTAAAAAAGCAAGAGAGAAGAAAGGGTGAAATTTTTTTTCCCTGTTTCTTTTCTTCATAAAGTGCTCTTGGCCTTGATCTTCATGCAGTGCTCCTCACCCCTAGGGCCGTGTTTTTGCGTTCCTTTTTTTTTTTCCTCTCTCCCTTTCCTTTCTCCCCCTCTCTACCCCCTTCCTACCCTATGGGGTACCAGTACGGAATGCTTTTTATATTCTCCCCTTCCACAGTGCAAACTGCCTAAGCCACATGATTTTTTTTATAGGAGACCTTGAATTTCTTCTTTTGCCCCTCGTGTGCGTTTCCTTCATCTCTCCCTCCCTCATGCACTTTTTTGTTTTGTTTTGCCTAATACCTCTTTTTTTATTATTCTCCTGGAGTATTTGATGGGTTATGAAGGACGCAGGTAGGGCGGCGGGGAGAACCCTTTATGGTGGAAAAAAAAAATGAGAACGCGTCTTGACTGAGAATTGGCTATCCAAGCAAAGCAACCCTTTCCCTCACTTTTTTTTTAGGAGGAAAACGAGTCTCCAAGGATCCCTTCTGAATTTCTTGAAAGCATGGCTCCATTTGCTGCTTCGAGATTCATCCATCTGTGAAGAAAGAATGCTTCCTTCCCGTCGGTCTGAGAAAGGGTTCTAGACGTAATCAACATGGCATACCGTTTTTTTCTTGTTCATGTTTGGGCGTCGAAGTTTCCTCGATTCCTGTCCTTGAAAGCGAGTATAAGCTAAGTTGATGCGAAGGGGGGGTGAGCAACCGGTTGAACGGGTCTAGCCTCAAAGGAGCATGGGCAAAACATGATATCAAGTGTCTGTAGTCTCCCATGCCCGGGATGCGTGATAAATACGTGTCTCTCGCAGATGAGATGGATCTGGATTGGGGGTTTCAAGACTGATTTCTTCCTACTTCGTCTCACCTGACATCGATCTAGGATCCCTTACTCATCCAATATTAACTCTTGCGCCTCCTCCTTCCATATCTCTCCTTTCCAGCCCCTCTTTACATCCTTCTCAAATTGACTCGTATCGTTATATCTTCTCCTTCGCGAACGGTTTCCGGGAAGGAATGTCCGTCTTTGAAGCGACAGGATGAACGATTCCTTTTCATTCTGTAATGCATGACTCGTAAGTCGTGCATTTTAGAGGAGGAAATCGTTCAGTGGGCATTCGGTCGTTGACTCGAACTAGGATCCGGGAGTTCGTTATAGGAATCCAGACGAGACGTGGGGACTCCTAATAATAACTATGGATGGAAGAGAACGAGAGAAAGAGGGGAGAGTGTGAGTGTAAGTGTGCGGAGGATCAGCTGAGAGAAGAAACCACGTGAGTTGGAGTCTACAGGGGAATTATTTGGCAAAGGGCCAGCCGCATTGATCTCACGTCTTTCCTTCCCTTCCCTCTTCCTTCACTTTTCTCTCCGCTCCTTGCGCCTTTCTTCGGATCTTCCCCGTCTTTATCATCTTTCCTCAACCCACGTCATTCCCTTGTCAGTATCATCTCATGCCTTGTTTTTTTCTTTGTCTTATTGGTGCCTCTCTTGTTCCTATTAAGTTGATCGTATCGCCCGGCTGCTGGGTATCGTCTCTCATTTATAGTTTAGCCCTGAGGAAAGGCCCAAATTAAAATGTGAAACAGCAAGCAAGAGATCGGTTCGATGTCACACGATCGAAAAATTGCTTCCAATTGGCGGCGCCTAGAGCGGACGAGCCGATCGACTAGAAAATAGTAATAGGGGTGGGATTGGGGCTCCATTTCTGCGAAATGTCCTTGAATGGATAGGAGAGAGGGGAAGCGAGACGTGGGGCGCATGACGAGTCCTAGCTAGGCTAGGCCAGGGGAGCCAGACCGAGTCTTGGGTCTAGCCCTGTAGCCTGAGCCTGTATTGACCCAGTCTGTTTCATCCCCCGTCCATGCTTGTCGGCTTTCATCTTTCCTCCGCTATTGAAAACCTGTTTAGTGGGAAGTTCGTTGGGTGTTCGTGTGTGAGTGAGGAGAATCCACGAAGGTCGAGGGACCATCAGGCTTCAGCGTGGCCCTTCTTTTTATGCATTCGCTTTCCCTTATCAGTCCAGTGTCTAGCCTTGACGTCTGTGGAATCTCGTCCTCTTTCCGGGATACTATGCTGATGGGGATGTGGAAAAAAAAAAAGAACTCGAGTCGGGTGAAGGTCGGTTGCATGGATACAGTGCCAAAATTGCCAAGAGAGCAGAAACGAGCGAGGAGTCTCTTGGAAGCGAAAACGAGAAGTGGGAGAGAGAGAACGAACCACGCTTTTCCTCTTTGGCGTTATTTCCAAGCGGACTCGCTCCTCTCATTCTTTTCTTGTCTCTCCTTCCAACTCCCTCGTCCCCCGTGCCCCCACTGTACACGCAGTATAGACGTGTAGCGCTAGAAAGGAGTTTCTTACTCTATGGGTCGATTTGCCTGGCATTCGAAGGCGAAGAATGTGATTTCTCTCTCTCTCTCCCTCACTTCAGGTGTCCATGATGTCAGATTCGAATGGAGCCGGTGGTGCTGAGATAAAAAAGGAGGAGGTTCTGAAATGGGACCATGCATCACCGGCCAACAGTATGTATTCCCCTTCCACCACGGCCATCCCCGAGGTAAGAAGGAATCTGAAAATACTACGTATGCGCTGAAGTACCGGATGTTTGCGTGTCGTTGAACCTAGGGGGGAAAATACTTCCCGCCGAGATGATACGATGAGATGATGATGGTGATTTGTTTGATGATGCAGATGGAATACAAGTGCGAGCCGTCGCCTTCACCCCAGTCTCTGCTCTACGGATCCCCCATTTCCCCGGGCAGCCCCGACAGACATTTCTGCTCATCCACCACCCAGCCCCTCGGTGACAATCCCTATTCGATTGTGAGGGAAATTCTCCTCGGACCGCAAATCCCTATTTCCATGACAACCGAAGTTCATCAGTTTCTTTTCTTCCGGCAGGACGGATTGAATAAAGAAGACGAGGCACCGAAACGCCTCTGTCTCGTGTGCGGAGACATCGCCTCGGGTTTCCACTATGGAGTCGCCTCCTGTGAGGCATGCAAAGCCTTCTTCAAACGAACCATTCAGGGTATGACGTACGAACAAATAAATAGTGACTGGAGAGAGAAAGAGAAGGGAAAGAGCATATTTTTGGTTCTCTCATTCCTCCAGGAAACATCGAGTACACGTGTCCGGCGTCCAATGACTGTGAGATAAACAAACGGCGACGAAAGGCGTGCCAGGCTTGCCGGTTCCAAAAGTGTCTTCGAATGGGAATGCTGAAGGAAGGCGTTCGATTAGATCGGGTTCGGGGTGGAAGGCAAAAATATCGACGCAATAACGAAGTCCCCTTCCCCATCACGGCGCTTCTTGCTCGCAGACCTTCTCTCGAAGGTAATTGGGTCCGACTGCTTTTTTTTTTCTATTTCTTCATGCTCATCTCATCGTCCCCCTCGCCTCGGAATCTGGTTGAAATCGAGGATGACTCGAATGATTGTTAAGTTCCGAGTCACCAGCCCCTCTCGATTTCATGCAATTGGGGAGTCTTATGAAACTTCTAGCATGAGTAAGCCTGTCGCAAGTGGAACGCAGAGCTTAAGAAACATCGGAATGAGGTCAAAAATGTATTTCATACTCATCACGGTATTGCAAACAAATGTTTCCCTTTGAAGCAATCGTATGGATTAGAGTTTTTCATGGCATAGCAGTGACCTTCCTGGTTCTGAAAATGTATTCAAAGATGCAGAGATGAAGGAATTAGGCACGATCTAATGCAGTTTGATTGATGCTTCGTCTCGTGAGATTTTATGTGTGGTTGTGGATGTGCAGGGAATAAGATGCTCGGGTGTCTGCAATCGTGCGAACCGGAGCCCCTTCTGGCCCTCACTGACCCGTCCACGTTGGACTCGGACTACGGGCTTGTGTCCACGCTTTCCGATCTGGTTGACAAAGAACTCGTCCTTACCATCTCGTGGGCCAAACAAATCCCCGGTGAGTGCCAAGACCGTCTTAACAAGGGGACTTGAGGACCTCGGAAGTTTATTACTATACTCGCATGGTCAAGAGAGCAGCGAAATATTGTTCCTTACCCTGTACAGGATCATCAGCATTGTTCAATGGATAGTTTCCTTCTGACTTTGGAGACTACGAAGATGACCTAAATTTTCTTCTTATACCTATATGGTGTATGCTCATTTTATTACGATACTTGAGTACGAATCTCTTTCTATGAATGACAAAATTAAGCCTTTTTTTTGCATTGGTTTTTCTATCCTAAAGATGCTACTAACTCAAACTAGATGCCTTTTATGGAAACAAAATAACCTTATCTATCGAACAAAGCCATGATCTTGACCTGAGAGATTTCAATGTCGCCATTGTCCATCGAGAAGGCGAAAAAATCACGGCTAATTTACCAGCAGGTATGGAACAAACGATGCCTGTTGAACCCATGTTGGACGTAGTCGTTCTTGTCCTAGTGGGGGGGTCGTATTTAAAAAAAATAACTTTCCAGACTCTCACCCACGAGTGTGTTCTGTAAGACTTGGGGGAAAAAAATAAAAATAAATTGTTGGCCAGTGGCCATGGATTTTATCTCGCCGTGTACCTTGCTCAGGTGCTTCAATCCTGTCGCGGGAACTGTCCCGAAGAAAAGTTGTCCACCGAGAGTTGATTCTCCAGAAACAAGTTTTTGCCAGAGATAATAAAAAGCAAAAATCAAAAGGGGTTTGACGTGATTGTTGTCTTGCCTTGTAGGGTTCAGTGACTTGCCCTTGAATGACCAGATGCACCTTCTCCAATGTGGCTGGGCAGAAGTGCTCGGCGTGGCCACTGCCTTTCGATCTCTTCCTACCTCTGGTCAAGCCCTCGTCTTCGCCTCCGACTTTCACATCACCGAGAAACAGGCCAGACTCTGCGGAGCTCAGGACCTCTATTTCCAGGTAGACTCCGCTTCCGTCGGCTTCGACATTCATCGTGGACGTGCCTAAGACTTTTGTCTCTCTCTCGGGTGGCAGTGCATGAACGTGGTGAGCAGGTTCCAGGGCGTGGGAATTTCCCGTGAAGAGTACCTGTTGTTGAAAGCCCTCGTTTTGGCCAATGCAGAGGTGGGATCGGTCGAGGACTCGCTACCTCTGACGCGTCTCAGGGAAAACATCTCTGCCTCCCTCTCCGATTGCATCATTGCCCTCAGGTAGGCCTTGATGGAATACTCCCATGAGCGGTACGAGCCGTTAGGTTTACTGTAGAGAAAGAGTTTTCATCTGGTATTCAAAATCTGGTGGTCAAAATTCGTTTGTCGATGAAATGTTGTACTGGTGGATAACGAGAGAAAACTTTCAAGGCTTTGCTAGAAACCTTATATGCCTCCGATCGATTGGTATATTAATCCTGTTGGTTTTTGCCGTTTGCAGGCCAGAGGATGCGATGCATCACCTGGGGAAGTTGTTGATGAGCCTGCCGGTGATTCGTCAGGTCGACGATGCCATGCGGCGTTTCTGGGGCGCCGTCCGCAGAAGTGGTCGCATCCCCATGAACAAACTCTTTGTCGAAATGCTCGAACCTGGGGTCCGGTAACAATAGCATTAACACCCCCCTCACGCTCGTCTTTTCCCCCCTTCCCCCCATTCTTGAATCCACTTCTCTCATCAGAGCTCAGAGCTTTTGCACAATCATTGAGTGAATTTGGCCAGTGAGCTTGAAACAAGGGCTACATTCAAGTCCTGTGCATGATCTCCATTGACACTCTGGAATGCACCTTTTTAGCTCCCTGCCACAACATGTGTTCAGCCTAGTTGGTTGTGTGATACGACCCTTCTTCCATCATTCTGGACTGTTCACCCCTGCGCCTGCACTCCTCCTGGACTTTTGTGAATTTATTATTATTTTGCATCGTCGATCCAATTCTTGTTGTTGGGGAAGGGGTTGTTGTTGGTCCGAGAGGTCCATCGCATACAACGAGTGGGTCTTTTATTTTTTCTTTTGCCATTTTGCAGCTGTACAGTGAAATGCATGCCACTTCACAAGATCACGCTCTCTTCTGACAGATGGCAGACATGTACAAAGCCCTCTGAAGAGTACAAAAAGAACTTATGATTAGGGCCCTCGATCTAAAGTGTTTTTCCTATCACATCTCTGATTCCCCCCATGGTCGCGGTCATATCTTTTTTTTATTACTATTAATTAGATATTATGTAAATATGTTTGCTTATCCCACCTACGTACAGATGAGATTTTTGCAAACATTGTGATAGGGTCCTAGGTGTCACACAGTGGTGTAGGAGTCAAGAAAAGCTCCATTTGCAAGGCCTACAATGATAATTAACCTGTAGATATGAATATGTCTCTCTCAGTCGTCCAGTAGATGTGATAGTGAGACTGTTGCTGTTAATTGTCTCTCCCTTGTTCTCTCATGCCAGCACTGATCCCAACATGGTGCTCACATGAATTCCCATTCCTGTTAGGAACAAAAAAAAAAACAAGCAAGTGTCATGTGATATATACACTAGTAGTATGGTAGTGGTAAAAAAAAAAGAGAAAACCGGTCGTGGTCCCAGTGTGTTGTTCATACCTGAAGCTTTCGGTGGGGTGCCAGGTAGAAGGAATTCATTTCTCTTTTCAGGAATGTCTCTCCCACTGCCATTTTCTTGTGAATGAAACCTGTAAGTTCTTGCCATTCTATTAGTTGTTGCTGTTAAGTGGTTTCACACGAACCTCTATTTGCAATGTATTGTGCCATTCCCCCCATGATTTGATTATGGCGATATTAATGCAGTAAGGAGAGGATTTGCTGAAAGCATGGAAAAAGGATGTGCTCTTCTGGATTGGCTGTGATTGATGAAGGGAGGCTTTTCCAGGTCTTCCTCTGACAAGCAATGGAATCAAAATTGAAAATGTGGTAGCCTGGATCCTGTAGTTTCATTAAGACTTCAAGAGATTTTCATGAGGGAATTGATTATATTTATCTTGCCTTTGATCAATGTGAGATCTCAACCCTTGAAACCAAGATAGAGCAGTGGCTCGAAAGTAAGGAACGGTAAGACGATGCATAATTATGAAAGAATTCGATTATGTGTTGAGTGTGATGATGGTATATGATGGATATAGTTGGTATGAAGTTCACATATTTTGTTGTGAAGACACGACATGGTTACTGGCAATCAAAATGGAGGCGTGATCCACTTTAAGGCCGGATCGACCCGAGGGCTAAATTTTTGTCAGGTCCTGATTCTCGTGAGGGAAGAAAGAGCTGGATAAAAAAGCAAAAATGTGAGGAATTTTTTGGTTGTCCCATTCATATCTGTGCCAAGACCCATATGCCTGCCTGTGCACGATTCTCATTGAGTGTCATATCACTGGTGATAGTGATGAAATAATTATTCATTCTCTCTCTCTACCTCCTCTTATTGTTTGGTCATCCTTGCAGCAATATGGAGGGGAGGAGATGAAGAAAAAAAAAAGAATTAAAGAGAAAACATTGTATGATATAGGAGTAGGGTAAGAAAGGACCTCTGCTCTCTTCCCTACCTGTGGCCATGGAATTAAGAGATTTTTGTTGACTCGTCGAGAAAGCATCTATGTTTTCAATAAACTCCATGTTATAGACCCTGCATCTCCACTTTGTTTCATTCCTCAACTGTGGTGTGAGCGTTCTCAAGAGAACTGATTACAGACTAATGGCGAATCCATCGATCTGCAATCGCAGATATCTCTGGCAAGTATACTGCTTTGGGTGCGTTTGGCAAGTCAATCTCTCCAGGTTAGGGATGTAAAATTACTGGTAATGAAGGGGGCATTACCAGGAATATACAGGGAATTACCGTTAAATTCCCTTTGCCTTACTCTTGCTCTTACAGGCCAACGAATGCTGAAATTCTTTTTTGTTCTTGACCTCATGTACAAACATTATTCCTGCTATGTAAAACTTATCTAAAAAAAAGTCTTACATGTGAGTTCTGAGGAGGATTAGTTGCTAGAAAGATATGGTTGGAAAAAACAATCAGCTGTCTTTCATTTCCGGAATTCTGACCACTAATGAGAGACATTTTTGACGCAGAATTTGCAGAGAAAAGGATGATCCAGAAAAAGGATGTAGATGGTCAAAATCTGTTCTAGAAACGCGTGAATCTTAGCTCTTTCATTCTACGGATCGTGCAAGCCTAATTCTGCAATGTTTTGAAGCGTATCTGTATCCCTTGCCTAGGGACTTCTATTTTCAGGCAACGTACATCTTGTGCTCCTCCCACCCCCTGGCCTTCTCCGTGCACACCATACACATTACTCCAACCATTCTTGATTCGTGGGATAGCGGAAACACAGATCCTCACGTGGGAGTCCCGCTTCCATTCCGATTCTGTCCCTCCCTCGGGGGGGAGGGACAGAATCGGAGTCCATCCCTGAATCAATCGTTGACACGTCTAAAACTTTGGACCATGAGACACTCCGCCCCGTGGGAAGCCTGCTTCTGTAACTTTTCGCTCATAGGCCGTAGGCCGATAATAATAAAAAATGACAAGAGAGATGATGAAGAGAGAATCCAAACACAGGGAAAGAAGTTTGCGATAGGTTTCCGTGCTTAGAGGGAAACCTTAAAAATTCAGACTCTCGCTTCCGCCGCACCAAAATACCCTCTCTCAGAATTAAAAGAGTTTCTTATTTTGCTAATCCCGAGCGATGGGTTCGGATCCCGTCCCTTCCTAACGAGGGAAGTGCGTCTTTCAATTCTCTTCCTTGGGGACGTCCGTGGCTTCGCCGAACGATAAATTCAGAACGAGAGTGAGCTGGTGAGCAAAACTCGTAATTTCACCCCCGATGTTTAGACTGGGAGAACTTCAAGTCTTTAAACCCGCTCATTTGAAAACTGCATTAGCTTACTTATGAACATGCTTCAGTTTAAATATAGATTTAGCGATCGGTCGGGCTTGGCACACGTTCGAGGCACCTCGTTGTGGCACCTCATTGTGGCACCTCAACTTTTTTCTGGCTTTTGATGGACCTCCCCCCTCCCCCCATCCCCCTTCCCCCATCTCCCTCCCCCCCCTTTTCATGGTTTCAGAATTCTTTTCAATGCGTTTGAAAGGAACAAGTCTGTCAGTTGGTGTTCTCTTCTTCCTGACGTGATTATTTTTGGACTCGTTACTTCTCTCCTCATCCTATTCCCAGCATTTTACAGCTCGCGTCCCCCGCCTTCGCTGAAGCAAACACCTCGACATGCTAAATATATTTAAAAACAAGTTAAATACTCTGCGAAGTGAAGTCATCGACTGGCAGAAATCGTGTAAAAAAAAAACGCGATGGTTTTCGACAGGCCGATCCTAATTCCAAGCGGAATCCAACGCAGCACGAATTTCGGTGCGATACAGTTGAACCATTTCAGTTGAACCATTTCAGTTGAACCATTTCATTTTCATTTGTGAGTCGCGTTCGTTGGTTCCGGCTCGCAATTCCTCTCCTAGAAACTAATTAAATCAGAAAATGACTCTTTTCATGCTTTAAAGAAAGCTGAAAAGCGGAAAAGTAAGATATTCTTCACCGGTAATTTAACGGTAACATTACCGGTAGCCAGGAGCAAAATCGTTCTCGGTAACGCCGGTAACGTTACGGTAACATTACCGGCACTCACAACCCTACTCCGTGCACGTTATCACGACGGAATACAGATGCAAATCGCGTCCGGGAAACCGCATGATCTGTTCCGAGTATTCTGCGATGCGTCGCGGCGTGTTGCGAGCATCATTGTTGACGCGCAATGGTAATTATCTTCACTTACATATATGTACATTTATGCATACTGGGGACTGGAGAGAATGTCATTTGTTTTCCCCCTCTTGGAAGATGAAAGGGTCTGAAAGGTCTTCCCGTCGGGATGACGTTCGAAACTAAAGTCGGACGAAAAGTTTATTCCACCTCTGAAGCGGCATGTCCCCCCACGTTACCACACGATCTCGTAAAAGAGTCCGAAGCAAATATATAGATGTGGCCAGAAGCCGGATACGGTTACGCGGTTACGTGCTCGCCGTTTTTTTTTAACCTGACCGGCCGTTTCGTAACATGGTGTTCCGGACCCGAACGTGAAAACAGCTAAGGTGACTGGCATCGTGCTCGTGCAGCTATCTATATAGCTATTTATATAGCTATCTATCGGTACGACCTACCGCAGTTGAACGACCGCGAGATCTCGGGCGGCCTTCCGCGACCGATCGGACCCGATGGAGTCGCATTCGAACACGTGGTGGAGTTTCCAAAATTTCCTTGCAACTGTGCTCCGAGGTGCTTCGGGGTGCTCTGAGGTGCTCCAAGGTGCTCCGATGCATCGGTTGTGAGAGTAAAGCGATTTCAACGCCTGCAGAATACTCTTGATCGACCCTGTATATTAGATTTACGGTACAGTAACACAGTAAATTTGAGGGACCTTGAGATATACGACCGGGCTCGAATGGGTTTAATATCCTATCCAAAATGTTTTCCGCCAACTTGATATATTGCCGGTTAATTGACCATTTAAAAAAAAAAGAGCAGCGGGAGGGCGGGACCCTTCATGGCCCCGTCGAGAGACTCTTGCGAGAATCCTCATTTATTGTGTCCGGAGTCGAAGGAGACGAAATCAAAATTTCAACGATGTCAAATTTGTCATTGCGGCACGGAAGTCCGAGTTTTCTCAGGAAAAATATAGCCGTTTCTTTCCAGTTTCCGAAAAAAAAAGTTTGATTCCCTGAAAATGTATTCGTTTCCATCTTCAGCCGCAAACAGTCCCGCAATCATCTCGGGTCCGAGAGAAAACAAAAGGTCGGCGCCTTTAAAGCGGGCTGAAAACGTTCTCGATCGATCGGAATCTCTCGGACTCATCCTTTAAGGCGAGTTAAGGCGAATCGCGCCAAACGGCCTTAAAAGGCCAAAGCGATTTAAACAGTACAGTAAACAATAAACATGTTCGACGCGGAATTCCTCCGATTGGAGCGACTGAAACGCGATGGCGGAGGGTTTCGTCTCTGTTTTAAGTCAGCTTTTTTGTCGAGGTCAAACTCAAAACTCGGAAGATTTGGTGGGAGAACGTATCGAAATCGGCCTTGTCGTCGACGATTGAGCATTACGAATCACCACGTATTTGAGCACTTCATACCTAATGACCTCTGGACTTCCGGGAATCGATTGACGTCTCGCTCCATTCAGTATTTCTCGCAGCCTGATCGATGTTTACATGGAGCAAGTGCTCTTCGGCATGAATGTGGGCGTGTGAAAGACCATTTCCAAGGTTTTCGGTCGGGTCAGACCCTCGTCTGACGTCCGTCGTGATGGAAGTGACAACTATATCCTTATTCGCAGGAATTTATTCGTGACGAAATATTCTCGATCACAAAATTCACGTTTTTTTCACAGCTTCTATTTTATCATCTGGTCTACATATAGGCTCACCCTTCGATGTTAGAGCATGCGAGTATGAACACTAGTAACTATCGATAACATTAGTTGCGGCCCTGTAAGACGAGAACAGTCGAAAACGAGAGGAATAAATGATTCATACTGACTCGGTCCCGTTCTGAACGCTGCATTCCCCCGAAGCAACGCTCACCCCGAGCCAAAAGTGTTTGTCCGAGCAGGAAATCGAAATCCCCGACCCTCTCTCGACGAGGAGGCTGAGAGGACTGAAGCGTCCCCAACTCCCATTGGCTTTCATTCGAGCCTTCAGAACTGCATAGGCGTGACTCGACCGGGGAAGCATGGAGGAATGGAGGCAGCTTGGAGGTCGCCTCCATTCTCCGACGTTCTCGAGCGGACGGAGTTGGAATGGACGAAGAAAGGGACCAGCGAGTTACCATATCATTTAGCCGAGAGGCAACGGCCTATTTGGACGACCGCCCGGCTGCAAACAAACAGCAGGCCTATTCCTCTCGGATCACGGGAAGATTGACGTCTCCACCGACACCCTCTACGTCATCACATCATCACACGTCTCACAAAACAGTCGCAATTTCGGGAGAAACATCCTGCGAACACTGCAGTCGGCTCTCTCGCACGAATGTGCTGCGAATAGTCATTAGGCGACTCTTGGAAACGGAGTTCGGAAGCTCCTGAAAAACGTCAGAGGCTCTCAATCACTCTTTTGAGAATCCAGACTCAGTTCCAGAAATTCCTGAAGAAATATTCCTGTCCGTTAACGTCTTGTCCCACTCCGACGCTCAGCCGGCTCCAAGCACGATGTGGATGCCAAAATCTCCATCTAGCGGATGCGAAAGCATGCAAGAGTTGAGTCCGTTCCTCGGAAGATGTCAGCACCGCCTTCTCGCCCGCCTTCTGTCTCCCTCTCCAGCTAATTTGGGAAAATCGATT